CTTTGCCCAGTGCATGGAGCGGGGCTCCTCTGGTCCACTGTTCCAACTATCTCTAGAGAAAAGCATCCTGCTTCCAACTCACCTTTTAACATATGCTCTCTTCTAATAAGCAAAGTTGTTTATTATAGAGTTATGCTTCCTTTAAGCATTCCTTAAGGAAACAAAATTCATGAGCTATTTGGGAGGATAGGATTGCAGGTCAGGCCGAGGGTGGGTAGGCTGACCCAGTCTATCTTCCATGCTCTCCAGGTGGCATCCACCTGCTCTGGAACAGTGGCAACCCAGGGACGCTTAGGGACTATTTAGCAAATAGGAATAAAAAGGGACGCCTTGCTTATTCTCCTTTATTTGCATAATTAGATAGCTCAATATAGATTCATAGCTCAGTGAAAGGTCCTAAGTTCAATTCTCAGGTACAAAAAGCTTTCATACTTATCCCTTGCTTTTATATTACAGACATGGGCAGCTCAATGCCAAATCCCCTTGCTCCTCTGGAATGCATTCTTCAGCACTGGAAGATGTTCGACCCTTCCTTGTGGAAAAAGAGACAATTAGCATTGCTCTGCAGAGTGAGTGGCCTACCTATGCTCTAGAGTCAAAGTGTAAAGGGAAGTATTAATTATGATGATCTTGGGGGCTGGAGATTTAGCTCAGCTGCATAAGCGCCTGCCTTGAAGCAGGCAATTGTGAGTTCGATCCCGGGTACCGATAAAAAAAAAGGAAAAAGGCAAAAAAAAAAAAAAAATTATGATGATCTTTTACAGCTAAAATCATATTGTAAGAAAGAAGAAAAATGGTTAAAACTATAGTATGTTAAATTTTTCTTTGCATTAAAAGATAATCCTTATCTATGCTTCAGGTATAATTATAATCCTTATGAGACCATCCACACTCATAGGTCTCTTTCTCTCAGTGACTTGAAGCAAATTAAGCTAGAACTGGGAGAATTCTCATATGACCCTGATAGCTACATTGATATCTTTAGAGGATTTACTCAGACCTATGAGCTAGGCTGCAAAGATGTAATGTTACTCTTAAATCAGACACTGACTTCTGGTGAGAGACAGACAACATTACTCGCTGCTATTGCCTTTGGAGATGAATATCATATTGCTGCCTTTAGAAGGCCAGAAGATAGACAGCCAGGGGAACCAGCAGTTCCCATGGGGCACAAGCAGTTCCTACCCAAGACCCCAAGTGGCCTGCCAACAACACAGGAGACTGGGACAGGAGACATTTTCAAGTGTGTATTCTTGACAAAAACCAAGCCTTATAGTTATTTTAAATTGCCAGCTGTTCCTCAGGAAAAAGGTGAAACCCCCTCTGACTTCTTAGATCATTTATCAGAGGCAATAATAAAACATGTGTCTATAGAACCTGATTCAATAGAGGGACAGATATTGCTTAAAGACATGTTCACTACTCAGTCAACTCCAGACGTTAGAAAAAGGTTACAAAAGATGACTTTTGCTCCAGATAGCTCACTCGATACTTTAGTAAAAGTTGCCTCCTCCCTATTTAATAAATGTAATGAGGAGGAAGCCAAGGAGAGAAAACAGACTGAGAACAAGCAGCTGCCCTAGTTACAGCATTAAGAGAAACAGACCCTAAGTCAATTCTCAGGGGCTCCAAGAAGAATTCAAAGACAACACAGACCAGCTATCCCTGCCCAAGCCAGGTCACCTCAAGCGGGACTGCACTCAGAAGCCCCGAGCCATGCCCCGACTGCAGAGGTGACCACTGAGGTCGGACTGCCCTCTGAGGCCAAGGCCCCAGGGTTAGACCATCCTATCGGTTGGCCCAGCAGGACTAAAGGGCATCACAGCCCTCTCCCTCTGGCCGGACTGTCATCTCCACAGAGGAGTCCCAGGTAATCATGACCATAGAGGGGAAAGAAACCAGCCTATTGCTGGACACTGGCGCAAGCCTCTCTGTCCTGCTTTTGAATCCTGGCCTCCTTCTAGTCGCCACACCTCAGTGAAAGGAGTCACTGGGGAGGAGGTAATTTGCTACTTCTCACAACCTTTAGGCTGTAACTGGGATGTGTTTTTTTATACATTCATTTTTGAAAGTCCAGTTCCTCTCTTAGGAAGAGATATTTTATCATGTTTAAATACTGTGTTTTATATATATATATATATATATATATATATATATATATATATGTCAGGTATGCTGCCTTCCCCTTGTGGAGACAAAAATTCTGAAGTATGGGCAACTAAAGGTAAACCAGGTAGGACAATAAATCCACAGGACCAAGCATCTCAATTAACACGGGCTGTGCTTCCCCACAGGTTCAGATAGTTCGCATCTTTTTAGACAACTGCTTCCCATGACTTGGCATGTTTTGAGTTTTCCCAGGTCACAATCTTGCAATATGTAGATGGCACTCTTATGTGCTCCCTTGGAAGAGCTCTATAGCCAAGGCACTTGTGCTCTGCTAAATTTTCTAGCAGACAAAGGTTATAAGGTCTCTAAATCTAAGGCACAACTTTGCTGTTTTGAGGTAAAATATTTAGGTCCCATTATATCCAAAGGGACCCAAAGTCTCGGGAAAAAAATTAAGCCCATTCCCTCCTTCCCACAGCCCAAAACTCTAAGACAGCTAAGGGGCTTCCTAAGAGTTACAGGCCTTTGTCACCTTTGGATGCCCAGATATGGAGAGATTATACAACCCCTCTATCAACTTGTAAGAGACCCAAAAGGAAGATCCTCATATCTTATGCTAGGAACCTGGTTCCCAAACTGCATTCCAGAAGCTTAAAGGTGCACCTCTAAGTGCCTGCACCCTGAGCCTACCCACAGGACACCATGTCAGTTCGTATGTAGATGAGAGAAGGCATGCTTTGGGGGTGCTTATGCAAGAGCTAGGATCTGCTAACAACCTATAGGGTACCTAAATGACTTTAGGCAAAGATCTCATTTTATACACACCTCACCCTGTGGCAGGACTGCTCTCCTCTAAGGGGAGTGTAGGCTGTCCAACAACGACTTCTTAAATACCAGACTCTACCTCAAGAAGGACCAGCCTTTCCAATAAAGACACGTTCTTCCTCAAATCCCACCACCTTCCTGCCAGAACAGGAGGAATAAACTGAGATTGATAAACACGACTGTAAACAGGTAATTCCTCATACATATACAGCCAAAAAACTTATTAGACACCCCGCTTCCGGACCAGATTTAACGCTCTTGTGTGATGGCAGCTCTGTCACAGAAGATGAAAAAGAAAGACCGGAGATGCAGTGGTAACTTTATACCAGCCTTAAAAGCTCCTCACACCTGGAACCAGTGCTCAGCTAGCAGAGCTCACAGCTCTGACCAGAGCCTTACACCTCAGCAAGGGACAGAAGGCCAGTATTTACACTGATTCTAAGTATGCTTCCTGGTATTACATGCTCACGCTGCCCTATGGAGAGAAACTTACCTAACAGCCAATAGAGCTATAAAATATAAGGAGATAGGTTGTCATAGCTACTTTTTACTTGTTGCTGAGACAAAATACTTCAAGCCCAAAGTTGGGAAAGGAAACTATTCCGTACAGTTTTTGGAGGTCTCAGTCCACACTCAGTTGGCTCCAAGGCAGGCGGGCATGGCAGGGCCACAGTTCAGGGCGGCTGCAAACAGCAAGGCGGAAACGGGCAAGACAACGAGACACACCTTCTTCCTGCCATTACATCACATCCTGGCTCCCCCTTTGTGGGTGGAGCACTGACACCATCAATCCAAGCTCTAGACTATGAACCAATCACAGATGCACAATGCAAACTCATGAGGCCTGGGGCCCACAGACATAAACCTTGACATAGGTGATCTTTTATTACAGGCTGTCCTTCAAAATCAGATGGCATTAGATGTTCCAACAGCAGCACAGGGGGTCACTTGTGCAATTGTAAAAACTAAATGCTGTGTATGCATTCTTGATTCTTCTGTTAGTATCTCAGTAGCTATTCAAGACATTAGATAGCAAATCAATGATATGTCAGATTCTAATTCCCAAGACGTTATTCTTTTAAGAATTAATTCTAGTTTCTCTTGGTGGAAATCTTTAACTATATTCATAATTGTCTTATTGATTTTGCTCTTTGGCCCATACATACTTACCTGATTCTTTGGTTTTGTCTCCTCCAGACTTAAAGCTCTGCGCACGCCCAAGATGACAATGCCTAGTGTCTGAGGGCCTCTAGACAGGATCTCTGTGGAAGTACCTCTGACTGCCTTTCAAAACTACGACTCCGTTTAGCCTGAAGCAGCTAGTTTGGTCTTCTGTCCCTTTCCCCTCATGGCAGTTGGGGTTACTTCTTCAGAGGGGGGATTGTTGCAGACAGCCGAGTTAGAAATATTATAGGCAGTGAGACAGGGCTAGGTCCTCAATGGAGCCAATGCAAACACTGGCAGCTGCCCTGAGGCTGATGCCTCCTGCTGTGGGCAGGGCCTTAAGACAAAAGACTATGCAAATGCACCCATATCCTGGGACTGATACCCTGAATAGTTCCCATCCCCTAGGAAACAGTCACAGCTCTGTAAGAATGCCCACTTCCTATGTGACTTGCTTTCCCATTTGTCCCTAATGTAATCAATTTTCCTGAACTACTGATCTGATTGGCTAACTATAGTTATGTCTCATCTTATGTTCATCTGCCTTGTGAGCTCCCAGTCTTCCTCCACCGTGAACCCATGGGTAAGTCCTTGGCAACCTGCTCGGGGACCCCTTTTGTCTCTCTTCAGAGGGAAGCTTTCTTTCTCTCAATAAATATATTCTACTCTTCAAAAAAAAAAAAAAAAAAAAAAAAAAAGTATGACACATTCTTGGATTAATGGTGTGTGTCTACCATAATGAAATCTAAGAATTGTTACCCTAGAGACGTGTAGGTAGTTCAGTACCTTATTAGGTTTATAAAATTAACTCGTGTGCAGACAGAATATTGGAATTATACTAAATATGGCACCAATAATGTAGTGGTGTTCCAGTTTTCCGTTTTTTACTCTTTTAAAGGTGGTGACAATCTGTGGAAAATGCTTTATTGTACCATTCTGACATACCACGAAGAGTATTTCCAATGAATACAAAGACTTGATTAAGTGAAGATCACATGATCCAAAGTGTTTCTTCCTTAGTTTTTCACAGCAGTTGCTAAAAGTCCATATGCTGATTTTTCCAAGAAAGATTATTCTAGTAACTTTGAATGTTCAATCCGTGCAATGGTCCAGTCAGGCTTTACTCCTTGTGTGAACTCTCTCTGAAATCTAGAAACAAAAAAATTATGAGAAATGTGGATCTCATATCAGTCCGTGTATCCTGGTTAAGCATGTAGACTGCAAGTCCTGGAAGCTACTTTAATAGCTAACGGTAAATCAAAAAGCAAAGAGTTTAATTTACCAATACAGAGCCGAGCGTGGTGGCTCACGCCTGTAATCCCCGCACTCGGGAGGCTGAGGCAGGATCGTTGTGAGTTCGAGACCAGCCTGGGCTACAAAGTGAGCTCAAGGCCAGCCTGAACTGCATAGTGAGACCCTGTCTCAAAAAGACAAAAATAAATAAACAAACAAACAAATAAATAAATAAAATTTACCAATACAACCATAAAAATATATTCCCCCAAACTGAAATACATCCTGACTGAGTTGTGCTTTGTTTTTGGCAGTGCTGGAGACTGAACAGAGGGCCTTGTACATGCTAACAAGCGCTTTCCTCAGAGCTCTCTGCTCACCCCTGGAGTATTTCTCAGGGACTGATCTGCACTCAGTGTCTGCTCCTTCTAGCTGAAGCCTGAACAAACATTGTTGTCAAACACTAGCTAACACAGGTGCCTAGTAAAGAAGATACAAAGTGTACTCTGGAGCTCCGAACAGCACTTTAAGTATAAAATACAGCATACAGGAAAAGCTCTTTTAAAGTAAGTTACCAGTCTAGTAACACGTAGTGGATTTGGTTCATAGACTTTAACTCAGTGAGATCAGTCTACCTGAGCTGTCCACAGTCTTAGGAAGGGACAAATGGCAAGGCAAAGTCAGTATTGATAATAATTTTTAATATATACATGTCTTTATAAAGAGACAACAGATTTAATAGGTATTTAAATACGTAGGTTATCTTGAATAATTATAAAAATAGCACAATTTCTTTAAAACATCTTTCTTTGGAGAAGTGAAAAAACGTGCGTGCATATAAGTCACTTGCACCTTCATGAAACATTCATTTTCTTTCCTAGGTCAGTTTTGGGATTTGTTATATTTCTGTAACTTTGGCACCATCATATAATATTCCCTCTTAAACACTGAACTACATCTCCACTGACTTGTTTAGTTGTTCATTTTTTAAAATTATCTTTACACAAAAATGTAGTATGCTTTATAAATAATGTGCTAACTTCCGACTAGAAGTACTCCTGGGGGCTGAATCCCTAGGGGGTACCTGGCACTCAGGGATGCTCGATCAATGGCCATGTGCCAAGGGCTGTGACCTCCTCTCCAAGCCCACGTGCCCTTCGGAATGTGACTTGCTGTAGCTCTCTATTTTCCTTGCCTTTTATTTCTTCTTTGGGTTCGCAGGCTGGCCTTGAACTCAATATGAAACCCAGGCTGGCCCTGAACTCCCAACGACTCTCCCAAATGCTGAGATTACAGGCCTGTCCAGCGGCGGAGGGTCCTTCATACACTCCGGATGACTGCAGTGACCAGAACACCATGGTGAAGGGACAGGGCTTTAATTCTAGAATACTCCTCACACACCTAGCAGTTTCCACTGCCTGCCTCTTGGGGTCCAATCACCAAGCAGAAGACTTGACTAGTCTGAAACTGCAAGAGGACAAGCCACAAAAGGGGGTCACAGAGAGGAAGGCACGGAGGCCATGGAGCACCAGGGGCCACAGTGGAGGGGAGAAGCCACTGCAGACATGGCTCTTGCTGCCCTGGTGAGGCGGAGAAAGGCCCACAGCTGAGCCCTGCACGGGCAGGGCAAGGCGGGATAAGCCCCTGGAGTGGCCAGCCTGCAGGGGGCTTGGCGGGCCGCAGTGCAACGCCCACCTCTCTCTGCGAAAGTCAGCAGTACTGCCTCTGTCTAGTCTCTTAACATTCCTGTTTCATATCCAGCGTACCTATGACCTTTCTCTTCATGAATAACTTGCCAAATTTCCGTCCTTTCTTGCTGAAGTTCTCTAGTTTTCACCCCTGCGCACTGCCTTCCATTCTCTAGGGAGGAAACAATGAACCATTACACTTACTCATAACTTGCACTAAGAAGTTGCTTGGTTTCCACATTCTGATCCCCCAGCTTAACCTGGAACACACTGGCTCCACGGACAGCATCGCTGGGGATGTTGGCACTGGTCAGATACCAAAAGCACATCAGGATGTTAACAAACTTCCTTCCTTAGAGAAGAAACACACACACAAAAGCAAGTCACATGATCCATCACGCACATTACCACGCTGAAAGCAGAAACGTGCTGCAGTTACACTGTGGTTACAGATCAAACCCTGTGCATGTTCTGGTGCACCTGAAGACACTTCTTTCAAAACATTTTTATTTTTAGAAAACTTTCGTAGGGCTTATTACATACCTTTACCCTCTCCTCTGCATCTTAGTAATAATAGCATTTGGTTATTGAGCACATACTCTACCAAGTATATTACATGGATTATTATCAATTTACAGTGCTTTCTAAAATTATAATTTCATGACAGATATTTATTGTTATGACAAAAATGAGGGGGCAGTTTTTGCTGGCTATTAACTCCACTGCCTGAAAGAAGGCAGGCTTCTAGTGTATCCTAGATTGCCTCCATGCTTAGCAATTCTGACAACCTGCGTAAAAACACTTAGTAACCACGGTGCCAAAAAGATAGAACACATTTATTAATGTTTCAGATTCACATGTGTATGAAAACTTTTCCAACCATGAGTCCTCTATCATCACTGCCCTGGGAAATGCGACCATCCAACCGACTGTGCCAACCTGACTGGCTTGGAAACTGCTCAGCAGATTAACGCACACGCCCAGGTGTGGCTGGTGGGTCAGACAGGATCTTAGACACTGTGTGGTCTGGTCCCTCCCCTGCTCCCCTGACACCATTCCCCTGCTCTGTTTCCCAGCAGCCAGAAATGAGGAAGCTCTGATCCACCATGCCCTTCAGCCATGCTTCTGCCTTGGAACCAGCAGACAATGGACTGAATCCCTGAAATTAAACTTCTCCTCTTTAAGCTGTGGGTGTCAGGTACTGTGTCCAGCGACAGGAGAGCTGACACATAAGCAGTATGTAAGTATGGGCTATATTTCCTATGAGCCTGGCACATAATGTACACAGAAGTTGTGTATCAGGAATCCATCAATCTATCACTCAGTGAACTTTCCAAGAATGCTACTGGGAAAATGTACAGACTGCACAAAAAAAGAGAGCCAGAAAACCTTGAAAATTCCTTCTATCTTTTTTGATTATCTCCAAAGCCAACCTGGGAGTTCAACAGTTAATCTTGCTTGATATCAGTGTTTTTTTTTTTTTTTGCCATCGGTAACAGGGATCGAAGTCATGACCCCATGCTTGTAAGGCAGGCGCTTATGCCGATGAGCTAAATTCCCAGCCCCTTGATATCAGTCTTTAGCTGATACTATCTACTGATTTTCTTTTACTCTTTACTCCTTTCATGGAGTATGCAGCTCGAAATTAAAAATGCTCAAGAAATTTAAAATGCTTCAAGTTAGGAAACGTGAAACATAAATATTTTCACTTTGAGATATGGGAGCAGCTTGTCCTAGGCAGACTGGTTTCATCACTAGATGACTTTCTAGTCATCACTAGTCATCACTAGATGACTTTCTCTCCTGTGCTGAACGGAAGGAAGCAGAGGACCTGAACATCAGGCAGTACTGCTGCGTCTGCAGCTCTCAGAAATGCATCTACTTCTCTGAGGCTCTGCAGGCGTCTGCCTGGGCAGAGAGGATCCACCATTCAGCTGACCTGGACGGCTCTGGGCACTCAGCAGTTGACCGTGCTTGGCCTCATTACCTTTCTCATCGTAGTAAATGGAGATGTCCCCTGTTGACATGTAGACGATTTCATCTAAGTCAGCAGCAAGAGCACGTCTGTGGTCATCAGGCAGTGATGTGACCTTTTCTTTCAACATGGGCAGCACCTAAGTTTGGAAAAAGCAAACCATCAGTCACCTGCTCAGCTTGTGAAAGTGCTGGAAGTAACCATCTTTAACAGCGAATGGGTTTTTCCAAACCTTAAAAAGTTGCCACACTGTCTGCTTATCCTCACAAGCAGAGTGAAAGGCATCTAATTCATTCGCACAGACAATTCCTAGCAGAACACTGTCTGTAAGCAGTGGAAGGGTATCATAGTTACTTGGGCCTGAAGCAGCTGGATTATTCCAGCTTGTACACAGGACAAAGCACTCATGCACCCTATTTTAGTCACTGGTGCACAATCAGAAATGCGTACCACTGTCTGCAAGAAACCTATATACTTACTTGAAAGGAAAAAGTATCCTTTAACTCAGGAATGGTGGTACATGCCAGTAACCCTATCTCCTTGGGAAGCTGAAGAGGAAGGTGGTAAAACCAGGGCCAGCTTAGACTACATACGAGATTCTAGCTCATTATAAAAAAAGCTGGGACACAGATCAGTGGCACAGTGCTTGCCTAGTTTGCACAAGGCCACGAGTTCAATCTCCAGGTCAAGGAGAAAAAATGTACAGTTTACCTCTTTGGCCACAAGTTCTTCCAATAGATCGAATTTACACTGTGACAGCAATTTGGAGACATGAGCAAAAGCCTTGAAAAAAAATAGGAGGAAGGGAACAATTATTTCAAAATATCATATAAAACACCATACAATGCTAGTACTTAAATAGTTAAATGTAATAAAGACTATTTTAGAGCAAAGATAATAAACAATGTCACATACTAATGTATCAATGTTAGCTGAGACTCCTATGAAGTTAGCTGACATTTCCTAGATGGTCTCTCCACATTCAGAGTATTGCTAATGATGTATCTACTCTTGGAATCTGGGAAATAAAAGTAAGGTGTGCATAGCAATGCTTCAATAAAAAATACTTACATTCTTTTAAAATAATGATAAACCATAACCTTCCTATGGCCCACCTTTTAAGAACAGACAGCAGTGAGGAAGCAGGAGGCCACATAGACCAGCGGTGTGAACATATGGCACGTGGGCCACAGCAGGATGTTTGCATCCTGAAAGCTGTGACAGGTTCGCCGCGGTTGAGCTAGGCTGGATTGGGAGTCTGGGCTGCGGTTTGTGCCTCATTAAGAGAGATAAGGTACATTTGGGAAAGTGGGGGAAAAGAACTTTATAATTTAAAGTAGAGGATCCCCACTTTGATGTGTGAGGGCTCACTTTAAATGGGTTCTGTACATTCCTAGCAATGAGAAATGAACTGTAAATTAAGACCCTACCTCTCTGGAGCAGAGGAAGACAAGTTTGCTGACAAATTCAAGATTCAAAACAGGGCTAAGAACAAGATGATGATTTGGGGGCATGCAGAAGATCCACCTACCTACTCTGGGAGGGCTGGAAAGGGCTTCCTAAAGAAAGCAGCATCTAAGCTGAAATCCAGGAGAAAGGAGATGCACAGTCAGAGGACACTGCACAACCATGCCCCCTGCCCCATGTCAAAGCCCGGGCCTCCCATATCTTGGAATGCAACTGTATTTGGAGATAAGGCCCTTAAAGAAATGATTCAGTTAGAGCGAGTGTACTATGGGGGTCCCTAATCCAAACTGACTGGTGTCCTTGTAGGAAGGGGTAATGTGTCACACATAGAGATGCAGGGAAATGAACAAATGTAGAGCAAAGACCATGCAGAACCCGCAAGACAGAGAGGCCTCAGGAGAAGCCAACCCTTTTGATGTTGAAGTCCAGTTGTTTAAGCCACTCAGTCTGTGGGGCTCTGCTAAACAGGAGTAGTAAATTAACACAATAATGAAACTGAATTTCAGAAAATGCACACACATGAATGGATTCAAGGATTCTATGCAAACACCTCAGAAGCTCTAGGGTTTGGAGATACTGTGTCTTGTGAAGATTTCATGTGGAAGATGGGTAATAATTTGGGCAAAACAAATGACCAAAACTATCACATTGCAATTCAACCACCAGTCCCACATTTGTGAAAGAAGTCATGCCTAAGCAAATTATCCCGAGAAACACTAAGGAACCGTTAAATGAGGAGCCTGATGACACGCAAGAGCCTAACCTCCAGTGGAGGTTTCCAGGAAACAACCTGCCCTTGCATAGGAAAAGCTAAAGTGAACAAGGACGGAAGAAAACAGTAATTCGGGGGCCCATGGTAAGGGATGACACCAAGTCAAATGCACAGATCAACTGCAAGCAGGTTCTGTGGGGCCATCTACCCCCCACTCACATGACAAATGCTTGTCTAGACTTTACATGATTCTTGGTCTCTAGTGACCCTGGAGGATTAAGCCTGCTTACAGTCTAGGACAAGTCACAGAACAGCATACACTAGCCATGCAATCTCCATCAACAATTTTGCTTTTCTGGAGCTCAGTTTTGTCACTCCATTTTCAATTTCCATTAGGCCACGCGTGCTGTACCTAAGGTTTACACGCTGTGTGGAGCTGGTGTGTGCACATACCATGTCTTACTTCCTTTTCATCCTCTTCCCCACATATCTCTCCCCCTCTCTTGTCTCTTTCCCTTCTGAGAAAGGTCTACCTTCCTGCTGCCTATTATCTTTTATTTATTTTGCTGTTTCTTTATACTTTGGGTTTCTCATAAAGAGAAACCATGTTACATTTAGGCTTGTGTGTCTGATTTCACTTCATACCATGTCTCAAGGTGCACCCATTTTCCGATGAACATCTTAAGTTTCTCCTCAGTGGCAGATAATATTCCACTATCTGTAAATGCCACGTTTTCTTTAACCTTTCATCTTTTGAGGGACAGATAGGCTGCTTCCAAGGTTTAGCTACTATGAGCTGTGCTGCTCTAAGCAACGGTGAGCTCAAAAAGTAGATACATCAGCTTATCTGCACTAGACCATTCCCAAATCCTAAAATTATACATATAAAATGAAACCTATAATTGCATTGTGACATGGACCATTCCTGGCCGTGTCCTTTTATAAAAACATAGGTATTGTGTAGGTGTTAAAGAACTGATATGACTGATTAGAAGGGTAAATTTAGGAGCAACAGGTTTAAGGGAATCACTCTATCGGCTACAGCTGACCCATTCTTTTTCAAACTCAGAATGGTTAATTGAACTAAAAATACTCAAAATAAAGTAAAAAGCATACAGGTTGGATTATGAGGGGGAGGCGAAAACAGCTAACAGGATCAGAAGACAAAACAGACCTATGGCCTGATTCTTAAAGCTCGTAATGGGGAGATGATTTCTATTCCTTACTGACACAAAATGAGTTGATAGTCCTATTTATATGTGTTATCAAGTAGACACACTCATGTGTCATCAGCGGGCACCGTGGGGAACAGTCACACTGACTGACCTCTGCATGGGCATCTGACATGAGCAGAAAAGTTTACCCTCCACCACGCTGCTGCATTCAGAATGTTCACCAAGCTTTTGGTTCGATTTCTTACTTTGTAAGTTGAGTTGACTCAAAAGGGTGAATACTAACACTGATCACATAAAGTTGAAAACAATTTATAACAGGTCACATCAATAAATATAAATGGCTATGGTTATAAAAATAAATCAGGAAGGGGCTGGGGATTTAGCTCAGCGGCATAAGTGCCTGCCTTGAAAGCAGGTAGTCGTGAGTTTGATCCCCAGTACCGATAAAAAGGAAAAAGACAAAAAAAAAAAAAAAACAACTTAAATAAATCAGGAGTAGAAATACTGATACCAACAGTCAATACCATAAATGTTACACTGATTATATAAGATTTATATTGGTATAAATGTGAAATAAACTATGAATTCTATTTTTATCAATAGTTCTGCAATATTTGGGAATGAAAAACTGTCTATGAGAATCAAAAGAAATGTTTAAGCCAGGTATGGTTATGGATACCTGTAATCCTAAAACTCTGGGAGGCTGAGGCTGAAGGACTGCATATTCCAGTCCACCTTGGACAATTTGTCAAGACCCAATCTCAAAATGAAAACTGTAAAAAGGGTTGGGGATATAGCTCAATGTGAAGGTTCAATCCATGGCACAAAAATAGATAAATATATTTTTTAAAAGGAAGAAGAAAGAAAGATTGATAAGTTTAGATGGCCTTTTACCCAAGAAAAATACATGTACACATATAATCTGCAAATAATCTCAAGATTCAAAGTGACCATCACATGGGTAAGGTAAAATACTATCAGCTACCCAGAGTCATAACTGATAAAGCTAAGGCTGAGAACCACTCCAGGACAGGCTTTCTCAGTGTGCTGGGTGCTTTTTTTTTTCTTTTGGTACCAGGGACTGAACTCATGACTTCCCACTTGCCAGGTGCCTCAGGTGCTTGTGCCACTGAACTATATCCCGGGCCCCCGGGTGCTCTGTTCTTATCATCAATGAATGGGTACCATACTTCCAGCAAACTTTTTGAAAGGGTAGAACTACTCATCTCCTGACTATCCCTTAAGGAGAGGGGTAGAGCTCTGTCAGATAGCTAGCCAGAAGTTCTGCCTTTGTACCGGACAGGACATGACAGTATTTTGTAAATGTTACCTCATTCCTCACCATAATCTTGTCTCCTCAATTTATTCAACATATATTTGAGAAGTTCCCACTATGTGCCATTTACTGGCGTCTCCATTTTGCAGATTTGGAAAATGCCAGAAAAAAGCCGAATAGCTTCTACGTGGCAGAAATGGGCTTTAAATCCATTTCTGTTTGATTCAAAAACTGCAGGGAATGGGAAAACAGAAACAAAAACACCTGAGGGACTTTGCACACACCCAGAAGCTCACTTGAAATCAATTGGCTAGGGGATTCGGTGTCTGGACCACAACCGAGGTCTGACAGCTGAGGGCCCAGGCTCAAACGCTTCTGCGTTACCGCTGAGAGTGGATGTTCGGGATCCCTACCTGCTTTGCGGCCCTAGCGAACTCTGAGATGCTGAACTCGCGGTCGAAGTATGCCCAGATGAGGAAGGCGAGCACTCGGGTGCGCACCCAGGTTACGGGGTTGGAGAAACCCAGGACGATCATCCTGGTCCCCGGGCGCTGACCCTCGGTGCTGTAACCGCGCCGGGGACCCACAGGATAGGCGGCGAGGGTTGCAGGGATCCCTGGGGCGGAACCAGGCCCCAGGCGGCGGCGACCCAGCGTCGCTCCCGAGCTGAGGCGGCGGCGGCACAAGCAGCAGAGTCCGGCCCAAAGCGGCCTCACTGGGGCCGCCCCGGGGGTCTGAAGCCGAGCGGCTCCACGGGGCAGCGACCAGGAGAGGAGATGATGCGGGAGCAGACGAGTGGCCAGCGCCATGTTCACGACCTTTCACCCCTATTGCTTGTGCAGCATCGAAATGAAGCCGAGAGGAAACAACCTCGGCGACATGGAAGAAAGGGACTGGAGAGCCACGCTGGTTGGCTGCTTCCATCTCTGATGAGTCTCCCTGCCTGGCTGTTCAGCACGAGCCCATCTGAAGCCAGTCGGTTCTGTGCCACGCGCCCAGGGCCAGCAGCACCCCACCCCGGGGCGGCTCTGCGGACCTTTGCTTCTCGAGTTGTGTTTCCAAGCCGAGCACAGGCAGCCGGACGCCTTACGCCGGAAGTTGCAAGGCCTCTGTAGAAGGATGGCGGGGGAGCGGGTCCCGGTACCGCGGCTCGAGGGCGTCTCTGCAGAGCATTTTATGCAGCATCTCTACCCACAGGTGGGGAGCAAGGAGAGACCCGTCCGAACCTTTTTGGCAGCTCCAAACTTGGTTCCTGGGACCCAGAGTGTGGGGGAAAGGCGCAGTTAGGGGGCTCGAGGAGACCCTTTACCTGGCTCAAGTGTTAGAAATCCCAGAAAACCAGGACCGCGGGGTGCGAGAAGCGAGGGCCGCCTTGCGGTTACTGTGGACCCCGAGCCCATCTTTTCCTCAAGTTTAGGGCGGGATTTCAGGCCTAGTTGGTGCGATCAGCACTCGTCCCGGTATTAAAGAAATTAATAAATTTAGAAGTGCAACTTTTACTCCACTGTGACAAAAACAGCCGAGTCTTCCAGGAATCTTTCAGTGGTCTGGGGTTCCAGCTACCCAGCATTGTAGTTCAGACGTCGTATCCCTTGGTTCTTCAAAAGAAAACTTAAAAAAATACTGAGGAGGTGATAACGTGTTTTTTGTTTGTTTGTTTGTTTTACTTGTGATAGTTCTCAAGGGAATCCAGACTTCCCGAGAACATAAGGAGTCCTGTAGGTATTTAAAGGAAAAGACCCCAGAGGTTTTAATAAATCTGTTAAGGTAGAAGGACAAACCCAAAACAAAAGAGGAACAATCAGGAATTTTCTTTCTTGGTACTTAAATCTATAAGAGGGATTACAGAGCTACAGTTTTGAGGTTTACAAGTCAAGTGAAGTTTTTTCTTGCAGCGATTCAGACCTTCCATTGTCTCTGGGGCGATGTCAATGGCTGGATGATGCTCTCCTCCCACTGCCGGATCTCAGGCTGTGTTAGGCCTCTGATGCCTGCAGGGTGGTGCTGTGAAGACTGAATCACTTGTGGAAGAGCTTTGCATCTTGATTATCATAGACAGGACACATTATGTTACAAAAGATGCATCATCATTAAGTTTCCTAAAGTAGAAAATTACAGAACCTTCTCTGGTTACAGTGTAATAACAGTAGAAGTCAATAACAAAATTGGAAGGAGACCTTTCTACCTAGAAACACCAAAGTGAAAAATGTAAAGGAACACAGACCTATCAGATTTTGAAAAACATGAGCTAATAGTTGTATAATGAACATTTGAATATGATAGACATGTGTAAATGAAACACCCAGAGGGGTAAAGCCCAGAAATACCTCTGCAAGTATGCACGTGTAGATACACATACTCGGAAACTTCATAGGGAGGCTGATTACAGAATGACGTGGCATTCCAGGAAGCACTGGGGCAAAAATTAACTCTTAATGGATTTTTGTTAGAGCAGTTTTAGCTTTACAGCAGCTAAACTGGGCAGAAGGTATGGAGATTTCGCATGTGTTCATACTTAGACATGAAGAGCCTCTTCAGTTACCAGCGTGCTCCTCCAGAGTGGTATGGTTTCTGCAGCTGATGAACCTACACGGACAGTCACTTCCACCCCAACTGTATGGCTCGGTGTTCACTCTTGGTGGTGTGGGTTCTGTGGGTGTAGACAAATTCAAGGCACAGTTTTACTATCGCAGCATGATACAGAGTGGTTTCACTGCTGCTAGTGCTGGGATCACTGAATGCTTTTGTTTTTTTTTTTGAGACAGGGTCTTAGTATGTAGTTCAGTTTGACCTTGAACTCATTGTTTAATCCAGGCTGGCCTCAAACTCAGAGTGAGCCACCTGCCTCAGCCTCCTGAATGCTGGGATTACAGGGGTATGCCACCATGTCCAGCTGAACTGTCATTTAGAATATGGGAACATTAGATTTATGTCTCATTATACACAAGAAGAAAGTCCAAGTGGATCAGAAAAATGTGAAGAAATGAAAGCACTATTTTTAAAGAATGGGTAAATTCTGCACTCCAAGTCCACAGGAAGTCTTCCTAACCATGACACCAAATAAAAAGTGTTTTATTTTTTAAAGTTGTAATAATTTAAAACATAAGGATGAAGAATGATTTTATATTAGAAATCCTAAAGTAGAAAATGAGAAGTGACAAATGAACCTAACAGGGAGGATGAGAGGTAATATAGGTCACTATGTATATATAGTACTTTACCCTTTATCTAGGATAAAAAATGAACACTGAATTCTGGTTAGTAAACTTGTTTTTTTATAATAGTGTGACCTAGTAATTCTAAAAGTGTTTTTTGTAATCTAGGGTTTTGCAAGTGTATAAACGATGGTGGGATTAGGTTTTTGACTTCTGGAGTAATTACAAATGTACAAACAATGAAGACCAGGATTAACTTTGAAACATGCATGGTTCATGTGTATATGCACTAGGAATGTGTTCACGTGTATAGTACATGCATGGAGAGAAACTTGCATGTATGATGTGGGGTGTTTTCAGGGATGTGTGAAGGCAGAAGTAATGATACCCCTTTAAACATTTTGCATTTTAAAGTAAATGAGGGCTACTTAAAGAAATGGTTGATTGCAGGGCTGGCAGAGAAGGTAGGAAAGCATGCTCAGTGTGTTACTTTTTACAATAACCATCTTGAAGGGGACCTACTGACCAAAGCGGAGATAATCTGAGCGTCAAAATTACATCAATAGATTTTTTGCCTATGGAATAAAATAGGTAAATGGAGAAGTTAGAGCTCATCTTAAATTTTTTTATTAGAATGCCAACTAATAAATGCAGAAAAATGATGGAGATTTAAAAATCACTGTGTCGTGCTCATGTTAACAGTGCATGACCCTGGCAGCAACTGCCAGGTGGTCAAAGTTAGTATCACAAGTACTAGGGCAAAATATCAGGTGCCACCTGATGTGGTGCCACAGTGTTTGTTTTGTGGGTCATGCATAAGCTGCCTAATCATGAAGAAATTGCAGATAAACCTGATCAAAGAGCATTCAACAAAATAATTGGCCTACATACCTCAGAAATGTCAAGGTCATGGACGACAAAGGCCGAGGTACTGTTCCAGATGCACAGAGGGAAAAGAGGGCAACCAGTGCAATTTGGCATCTCAGACCGAGTTCTGGGCCAGGAAAAGAAACAGCTAAAGGAAATTATTGGGACAATTAGTGAAATGTGAATTTGGACTGCGGATTCAACAGTAGCATTGTGTGAAATATAATTTTGATAATTACTTCATGGTTATGTAAGAGAGTATCTTTGCTCTAAGGAAATCTACTCAAGCTCTTTTTTTTTTTTTTTTTTGTCTTTTTCATTTTTATCGGTACCGGGTATCGAACTCACAATCGCCTGCCTGCAAGGCAGGTGCTTATGCTGCTGAGCTAAATCCCCAGCCCCTACTCAAGCTCTTATAGATAAAAGGGTGCGATGTCCACCATTTAAGGTTCAGCCACAGTAAGTTAGGCTGAATGACTGTCCTCTATTCACTCAGTGAGAGCAAACAGTAGGTCAAATGGGATGTAGTGTTCATAGAAGGGGAGCCAGGGCAGGGGGTTTATGCAAATGCAAATTCTTTCCCCCAGTACTGGATTTCAGGCCAGAGCTTCCACACTGAGCTACATCCATAGCCCTTTCAAATGGTTTTTAGTTTGAGAACTTGAGTCTCACTAAATTGCCAGACTGGGATCAAATTTGTGATCTTCCTGCCTCAGCTTCCCAAAATTCTGGGATTACAATGTTGCAAATGCTTGCAACATTTTTAGAAGTTTGAAATGGTATCAGAATAAAAAGGTACCAAACATTTGACTATAGAGTACAAATTTTAATCATTTATATTTTTGTCATAGAAACATGGAAATCCTGTGTGTGATATTTGGATGTCTTCTCTTTCTCTGTTGATGCTGCTGCTGTTTGTTTTCCCGATCTTAACCTTTTGTCCTGGGTACATGGTGTGGGTCCTGTCATTGTAGTGACAGTATTAACTGCCGGAGCTGTGAGCTTAAGAATCTCAGGATCAAGAATCAGAGCTTATCACCTCTGTTACCACCTGCAGCTTGTGAGACATTCTTGGTTTTCACAAATGCTTTTGTTGTTTTTTTCTCCTACTTACAGAGAAAGCCTCTTGTGTTGAAAGGGCTGGATCTGGGGCCCTGTACAAGCAGGTGGACTGTGGATTACCTAAGCCGCGTTGGAGGCGAGAGAGAAGTGAAGATCCATGTCTCGGCCTTTGCACAGATGGACTTCATTAGTAAGAACTTTGTGTATAGGTACTGGCTTCTGAGGGTTACTCTGGGGTACAAGTTACCTTTTAAAAACACTTAAAGCATTTTTATATTATTATACAAATAGCATTTTGTCTTTTGCTAGTTTGATGTAACCCTGGTATCTTACTGATTATTAAAGAGTAGTCCTAAAAAGATAAGAATTCTGAATTCACATAATGATAAAAAGACATTTCTAAAGACCTTTAAAAATAGGGTTCTTAAGACCTTTCGGAGCCATAGAAGAGAGGAATTCACAGAGTTAATTACACTAACAGTTGGGGCTGCTGTACTCTTTCAGTGCCTGATTAATCAGTGTGTCCTACCACATTAGTAACTTATTTAGCATAGGAAACTTTTTAAAAGGCTCATGTGTTTCTGTGCTTTCCAGAAATATAAGACAAACTATGTTTAGTATGGTCTTTCATCAAGTTGGGTAATATTTTAAAAATCATGTTTGATTTTCTCTTTTGATGAAATAACCTTTCATTTCACTTGAGGTTGCCACTGTACGCTGTGGGATCTCTTCAAAGTAAATAAATTATCAAAAGCTCCTGAATGTCTGAACTTGGGAGCTTTAAATGTTGTCATCCTGCAGAGTTGTATACTATGGATTCCCGTGAGAGTCATTAAAAACCAAAGGACTCTGGAATTTTCAGTGTGTGTAGTTCCCAGTAAATTAGATCATTGAAAACCATGTAGTTTGCACAAGGCTTGAGGTCAGAGGGGAGCTACACAAAGTGTCCGATGTCCAGGGGCTTTCCCTTCTCATTAGAGGCTTCCAGGTTCACGTAACAGCTGCCAAAGCATTTCTCAATTTCCAGTTTTCTGAGTATTCACCGTTCTGGATTCGGTTTCAATAGGTCACCAGTTGAATTTAATTGCTGTAAGTTCTTTCAAGTGTAAGAACTTTTCACTTTCTATTAAGTCAAAAAAGTGGAAGAAAGTACTGGAATGATGAGTGTTTTCCAGCCTGCAATTAATGATGTTTATGTTCCACAGTCTAGTGCCATAATAAATGGGTACTAAAACTTCATCTCGAAGTGCTTTGATCTTTTGTCACACTTTTTAAACTTTTCAGAACTTATTTTGGAAGCACATGTGTTACGTGCTGTCCCAGTTTTCTCAAGGTCTTCCACTAGCATTACCAAAGAATTGCAAGGTTATTGTTTAGTGCAAGAAATAGAAGTAGGTTGAGTTCTTTCAGCTTCTACCAGACAGAAGAAAAAAGAAAGAATCCAGGCCAAAGTGACGCTGGGAAGGAAGGAGTCTTGCAGATGTGTGTGCTGCTGGGGCTGCTTTTCGCCTTGTGTATCAGGAGACAGATGCGCTAACAAGTGTTACCTTAGATCCTCCTCCTACCTGTCGCTGTCCCTCCAGAGTTAGGACTCTGTTGTTAGGAGACTGCTGGGCACTGAAACGAAAGGATATTCTTGTTATCTTCTGGCCATAGATTTGATTTTTAATATGTGCTGTAGATCTCCCCTAAGCCTTGTTTAGCTGCTTTTACCTGGTATATTGTGTAACTCTCAACAGCTTGTTCTAATGCTTATCAGACTTTTATCAGTCCTCGTCTTGACTTTGTAAAGGAGCCTTTCCAAAGTGGGGAACTATGCACTAGAGAGTTCTTTCCCTCTTTTAAAACAATACTGATGACTGCTGAAGGGTGCACTGTGGTCTTTGCTAACCCAATACCTTTGCTAAACACTTCCTGTGTGTCAGATGGTACGGCAGGTGTCCTAGGTTGTACTTCTCCTTTAAACTAGAAAACAGTCTAGGAGTTACAGTAGGTATCACTTACAGTGATTCCCAAGATCACATCGGAATAAGACAGTAGCACCCAGGAAGTGTCCTTAGATCACTGTCTGCTGGTCTCCCCTCCTGGACTTTGTCTCCCCTGCTTGTCTGTGTGCTTGTCCTACAAATGGTGCATCATCAGCAGGGGAACATGCACGTGACACGTAAAACCCTAGTCGAGGGGCTCCCTGGGGCAGGCTGTTGGCAGCACCCAGCTCTGCCTCTTTGGTCTTAGCTACTTTACGCTCTTGCACCTGACATTCTGCCTCGAGCTTCTCAAGGTCTTAAAACTCTTCTGTGTCCTCCCTGGCAAGCAAACTGAGCCTGGGCATCAGTACCAGTTATGTGGCCTAGCTGAGCCTCCTCTCTGTGCTTTTCGAAGATGTTTTGGTAGCAACGAGAGGTAACTGTGCTGAAGCCTGAGATGGAGAACTCTGAGCAGGGGCCGCTGAGTAAACTTACTGATCTGGCTGCTCAGACACTACAGTGGGAGAATTTGCTTGGTCTGGGTAGGCAGCGGATTTCTTTGCTCTTTGCCCACTCACATAAGGACCAGGATACCTGCAGTTCACATTCACACTCACAGGACCCACCCACCCTTAACTGGGCATCACGTGGACTTGGCTCTGCAGGAGAGTGCCAGGCAGGGAGCAGCGCTCAAGCAGGAGATTGTCCTTAGGAGTCCATGCAAATGCGGGGGCCATTTTTTTGGCTCACCCATGACAGCTTAGTTTTAAGAGAACAAGATGGTGGAGGTGGCATTGAAATACCTCATCAACTAAGTGGCAACGGTCCCCAGAAACCTGTATCTTGAAGTGGCCCCAAACTAGATTTCTCCATATTCGGTTAAATACTGTACCTTACTCTCTGCTTTCTAAGTAGCAGTGCGTTCCCAGGCCTGCTGGTGCAGGCAGAGCTCGCAGCTGAGGGTCACTTACAGAGCGAACACCACTGCTGATACGGCAGCTGCCGCTGCATGTTTATCTCCACCCAGTGTGTTCCTGGAAACAGGTGCCAGGGGAGAGCGAGCCGGCTCAGCGTCACCTGCTCACAGCAAAGGCTGGTTTTCCTGTTGGATCCATCACCTGTACAGAGTTTAAGTGAGAAGCTATTTGGTAATGAGACTAAAAAGACTATAGCCTTAGATGAGAGGTCTGGCAGCAGGCATGCAGTGGGGAGCAGGGTGCAGGCTTTTGAGGACCCCATTGACGTTTTACTGATACAGCATCGTACTCACACAAGGTGGTACTTCAAATGTGAGACATTTGAAGGATAAGGTAAGACCTTAGAACATGCAGCTCTGTGACCTCGGGTGTGACGCACAGAAGGAGGACTCTGCTTCTGCAGTATCCCGCCTTGATCTCCAGGTGGAAGTGTGTAAGTCAGTGTGTCCTCATTGTGACCAAATACCTGAGAAAACACAGGAGGGGGACTGTGTAGGCTCATAGGTTCAGAGGGTTCAGTTCATGGTTGGCTCCATTACTTTAGACCTGAGCAGAACATCATGGCAGCCAGGAAGCAGGAAGCAAAGCTGCTCATCTCACGGCAAAGCACCTCAACTTGCAGCAGCCAGGAAGTAGAGAGCCAGCATGCGTGCCAAGGGGAAGGGCCCAGGATGAGATGCCATCCCCAAGGTCACACCCTACCCCACATCCTAGTGCCCCTCTTAGCTGTAACCTTGCTTAGCGCCCTCAGGACCTGGGAGCTTCCTAAACCCATTGGCTTTGGTTTCCCACATAGGAAAGAATCGGCTTTGGGGCAGAAAGTTTGAAGGATAAAAACTGATGGCGTCACTCGAATTCTTCTCAGAGGCTTTAAAATGATAGAAGGCGGTAGAGGAGGGTAAGCACAGGGTTCCTGGCTTTTGCGTGCTGAGATTGTGCTGCAAGGCAGAGTGGTCTGCGCCGGGCGCTTTGCCTAGCATGTCTTCCCGAGTGGCACCAGCAGTCTGTCCCGTTCAACATCCCTGCCTGAGATCATGTGTGTTCCCACAGTCATCTCTGTCTGCACTGGTGGTGCAGTGGAGCAGAGCTCCTTCCAAGGTAATCAGAACCACAAAAACATTTTTCTATCAGCAGTAAAGATTGTGTGCATTATATAGATTTAAAAATCCTTAGTCCTAAAGCTGCAGATGACCATCAAGTAGCCATACTGCCACATAGATTTTGAATATTTAGATTCTACAAAATAAGTCATGATAAAACCCACGGCCTTGTAGAATGGATCATATCCCACTGCCACAACCCACGTGCATAGTGATCACATCGTGTCTGTGTTTATTCCAGAACTTTACCTTTTAACAAGTTGGTGCAGAGGGCCGCTGAAGAAAAGCATGAAGAATTCTTCATTTCGGAGGTAATTGCTGCCCCATGTGTTTCGGAAGCATTGCTGTCTGTGTACTGAAAGGGCTTCCTGCTACAGCTTTGCAAGATCCCTCGCTCCACAAGAGGCAGGGCCACCTCTGTGGCACGCGTGAGACTCTGCCTATACTACAGGCCAACACCGCTGCTTCCTGTGCCAGCCCGGCCCGTGTTGCTCTCTGACGCAGGCTCATCCATAACCTGGATACGATAGCACTGCCTCCTGGGCTTCTCTTGAGGATTAGCTAAGGAAAATTCGTAAAACACCTACTAGTGGAGACGACTCACTTGGTGTTAGGGCTGCAAGGTCTGAAGTGCCAAGTCCAGACACCGACGGAGAACTTTATTTTCATGTTTCCTGCCTTTGACTATCATATTTTATTCTTATCAATATGATTTCTTTTCTATTGGCTGTAAAATTTGAAGGTTATGTCAAAAGAATTCTTACTGCACGATAGTGAAGCTGTATGTAGTTAAGATTACATATCGAGATAAAGAGTCAAGAATTATACATGTGTTTTTGAAAACTTACTGGGTTATTGAAAAGCACAATTAAAAAATAAGCTACTTTTTAGCCAGATATAGTGGTGCACACCTGTAACCCCAGCCCTCAGGGGGCTGAGGCAGGAGGATCACAAGTTGGAGGATGTCCTGGTCAACATAGCAAGTTTAGAGCCAGCCTGGACTAATAACAAGACCCTGTTTCAAAAATCCAAATGAGAAAATGTTGTTCAGTTTTAGGTGAAGCTGTTGCGTGCATCTGAGCAGCTAGGCCTGGACCGTTTGGTTGATAAGGTGCTGTGTGTTATAGCTCTCTCCTTGAGAACTGGTTATGCTAGACCGTCCCAGGATCCTGCAAAGGCCTCTGGAGGCCTGTGGTTCTGTACTGCGCTGAAAGTGTCCTTGAGAGCTGTGTGTCAGCTGGGCCTGAGAACTGGTTCACCTCCTAGTTGTGCTTTGAACTTGCGTATTCAGTTGCCTGTCAGCACTTCCTGTCTGAGGGGCGTGAGCAGCACACAGTTAAGTAGCGATCCCGATGTGAGGTAAAGGAGGCAGAGACGGGAAAGGATTAAGTCTAAACTTACAGAAAGGGTATGAACAGGGCGCGATGGACTGTCCGCGTGGTCCCCGGAAGCTGGTGCTGAGGTGCACTGCGTGGGAGGGCCCTGGGCGGGGAGCAGCCCTCGGCTCCCTGGACTCCTCGCTGGGCCGCCTGCACCGGCTGACAGTGACCAGCCTTCTCCTCCTACCCCATTGTGGGTCAGAGCCGCCTTAGCAGAGGTGCAGCCTCGGTTCGTGTACTGCTGTGAATGGAAGTTAATCCCACTCCTTGGCGCTGAACAGTGAGCTTTTGGAGAGGAATCTGTCTGCTGCAGTGGGTTTAAGTTTGAAGTCTTAAATGCTGACAGCCGTAGAAAGCCCTTGGAATTCTGAAAATCTACTTGAGCAATGACAGATTTATAGGACTTGTCTGCTATGGCAGCAAAAGTATGAAAACAGTGAATCTGAGAAATCAGTTAAATTCATCACTGTATGTTTTTACCGTGTCTTAAATAAGATACATTTTGAAATTTTTTTTTTTAATTTTAAAGGGGGTAAAATTAAACACAACAAAATAGGACAGAAGAAAGCAATGTAAGAGATATAAATTTCAAAGCTAGACGACCTGAGATCTCCACTGTCTATCATATTGTCTCTTATTTTCTTCCAAATAGTTGTCCAGGTCTTTACATACTGAGAATTCATACAAAATAACATAGTATAAAACAGATTGAACAGTATGAGGAAGGCGTTTTAGGTCTTCAAAACCAGACAATAGGGAAGTCACTAATGGCTGTTGTAGAGTTTTGTTCTCTTCAAAATAGCTGTCCATACTTTCATGTATATTGAAGTTCAACGAAACAGGCAGCAGGGAGGGGTTGCTTGGTTTCCCGGCACACCAGGTCCCGGTGTGGTGCGGGTCCCAGTAAACACCAGTGGCTCCCGTCCTGGGCCACCGCAGCCTGCCACGCTCACAGCCGCTCACGGGGGGTGGGGGTGGGGAGTGGGGGTTGCTTCAAGCTGTTTCTTTCTAATGAACTGACCATTTCACTGCCCAAGTTCTGAAATGCCAACAGACCATAGAAGGACATCCCTTTAGGCTCCTGCTAGAAACCACCAGTGTCAGGAAGCTGCCGGCCTTGATTCAGGGCCATACATTTTGAAATTAGGAGCAGCAGTCTTCTCTGGTTTCAGAAGGTGGAATTCTAAGTTGGGTTGTCCCTCACGGACCCAGCAGAGCTCAGGTCTTCCATCTTAGGGGGAAGCAGGCAATGGGGGATGCTTTTATTGTTTTTGAGTATTGGGGATCAAACCCAGGCCCCTAGGCATGCCAGGCAAGTGCTCTGCCACTGAGCCACACCTCAGGCCTCAAGCCAGTGTTTTTGTAGCTCAGTTCTGCGTTTAGCTGCCCAGTGAAGTATGAGTGATAATTGTGAAGCAGACCTGTAAGTTCATTGCTGCCAAATGAAACTTCTCATTAATTCATCAGCTGACTCTGAAGGATTTGGCTTGGGATTTCTATTGTCAAGGACAGGCTAGCTGGATGAAACAGTGCTCCGAGTATTTTAAACATGTAGGAGTGCAAGATATTTTTTCTCTTATTGTTATTGGCCTTCAGCAGTATTTTGGAATCATGTCTCCTGTACAGACGGGAGTCCTGTCCCCGAGTGTAAAGACTCAGATGCAGTGATTCAGCATGAAGTCCAACATTGTGGCACCAGGTGTGGTCTCTGTGCTGCTTGCAGAGAGGACTGCTCTGTGGCTTCGGGCACTGTTAGGAGCAGCTGTACAGACGCTTCTCCATGTGGCCGCCAGAGGGCATTAGTGGGAAGGGGAAGAGCACTTAGCCTTGAGAAGACTACTGGGCCAGATCTTAAGGAAGATCCCTTTTCACTTCCTTGTTTACTTCCAAGTATTTTTAAATGAATGCTGATGTTACTGTTTTTTTTTTTGGAAATGTTTAAGGATGAGAAATACTACTTACGGTCACTTGGAGAAGACCCTAGAAAGGTAAGAACTGTGAATTTAGAACAGTTTCTTAGCTGGGCTTGGTGGTACAAATCTGTAATTCCAGCACTTGGGAGGCTGACGCAGGAGGATCTGTGCAAGTTTGAGACCAGCCTGGGCTTCAGAGTGAGCTTAAGGCTAGCCTGAACTGTGTAACAAAATCCTGTCTTAAAATAGACCAAAAACAACAAATAAACAAACCAAAAAAACCAATTGTTCAATACTTAAGTAGATAACTGGTCCTATAACTTTTATACTTATAGACTGATATAACGTGATATTCTATTCTTCTGTCAATGATTTGTACCCTTAAATACGATCAGTAACTATTGATTGCTTGGCTCTTAGATAAGACTGTAGAATCTTAATGGTCAAAGTAATTAATTTCTATATAGTAGGAAATCCTATCAATTGTATATTTTATAGAAACTTTTTCAATAATAAAATAGTAATCCAAAATACTTACAAAAATCCTTACTATACAATATTATATATTCAGAATCACACAAATACAGCTTCACTGGAGTGCATGACAGTGTGTAAGTTTGGCCCTTTCTTCCTTAGTATCTTATAGGCTGTTGGCAGTTTTAGATAAAGTAAACATTATGTCAATATAGCATTTAGTACTAAAATGCTTTCCAGATATTTTTCTCTAATTATCTTTATGTTTTTGTCCATGCAGGATGTTGCAGATATCAGAAAGCAGTTTCCTTTGTTAGAAAGAGATATCAAGTTTCCAGAATTCTTCAAGGAGGAGCAGTTTTTCTCTAGTGTTTTTCGAATCAGCTCACCTGGATTACAGCTCTGGACTCACTATGATGTACGCTGTATAATGAGAACTCTGCAGCTGCAATGGCTCCTCATAGCTTAGCATTCATGAGTTCACCCTGCAAGCTGCCGTAGGACCCTTGGGGTGCAGCTCGCAGAGGTCCTGGGTGTGAGCAAAGGGACTGCACAAGGCAGGGTGCAGGGCTGAGCTCCTTCGGATGCCAGCCCTGTGTCTCACCTTCGTGTGTCTCATCGTCACTATCTCATGAAGTGGGGTTGGGTTTTGAGGTGTTTGAGATGTGAAGAGTGGCCACAAGGTGAGGGAGACGAGACTCGTGGTGTGGGAATATGGAAAAGGCACCCATGCCTCTGGCCACCCAGCACGGTCTGTCGGGGCAGAAGCAGAGCCATGGTGTGGGTGATTTCCAGCGTGAGTCTGGAGGGCTCTGAAGGTCTTAGGTTTATGTTCCTTGAGAGCATTCAGTGCTGCTGTATTCATAGGGCGGCCAGATGAGGTGGTACTGCTGATCTTGATTATTGATTCTCTGATGTTCTAAGTATTAGGATTTTATGTACCCAGTGGCTTGAACCACTCCAGTGGTCCATGCAGACTGTCTTATTGGGCAATTTGTACCACTGGAGTATACTAGTGGATCTGATCATTTTTTCAGTCTTTTTACTAATAAAGTTAATAAAAAGCCATCTGGTGGGACACTTATGCATGGACCCCTAGTGCTCAAGCTGCCTGACAATGAGATACAAGAACTGTAGTCCCATTGGAAGTGTATTAAATATATTGTATATTTGAGCACTTAAAAAATATTTAAAAGGCTAGTATTTTGTATGCTTTGGTGATAGAAGGTGGAGAAACAGGAAGTTAAAATCAGTAGGTTTCCAAAGACTGATTGACTGATTTATTTGTTTGTTTGCTCGTTTTTGAGTCAGGGTCTTGCTGTGTAGTTCAGGTCTGCGCTTGAACTCACTGTGTAGCCCAGACTGGCTTTGAGCTCCTCCTGCCTCAGCCTCCTGAGTGCTGGGATTACAGGAATGTACCATCATGCCTGTCCTCCAAAGACTTTTTTTTAAAGTTCTAAATCAAACATGTTTTTTACATGGATTCTGTAATTCATTTACATTAAAATCTTCCTGGGAAGATTTTAGCCTAGTCAGTAAATTTATAATTAAATGAGACAGACACGAAATCTTGGCATGCTGTTTTTTTAGGGTTTTATGTGAATGACATGGTGAGAAAATGGTGTGATTCATGTTTGTAATGATAGTCTATGACTGTGCTTTAAATTGAAATAGTTTCTTTTACCTCAAGTTAGGATATATAGGACTTTTCTTAAAAATAAGGGGAATGCTAGTTACGATTATGTAGTTAAGGACTACGTAAGTAAAGGTTTGGTGCTCAAAGCAGTGGTGCGTGAAGAGTCCCGACCGTACCTTTTCCAGCATGTCTCTCAGTTCCTCAGCTGAGACTCGCGGGGCCCTGGCTTTCTCCAGTCTGCCCACGTACACAGGAACAGTTAGGCTTGCTCCATTAAGAAGCAGGTGGGGGCACACCTGTGACCCTGTCACCGGGAAGACTGAGACAGGAGTGCTGAGAGCTTCCTGGCTCCATATGAGTTCAAGGTCAAGTTGGGCTCTGTGACAAGACTTTGTATCAGAAAAAAGTATATAAGATAATCTGTTAGGTACATTCCTATACACATAATTTCATAATCAAGATCCCTGTAACATAGTACAGTTGAATTACAAGTTTAGCAGTGGCTGCATAGTTCCCTATTTTCCTAAATCCTAGTTTTGTTACGTGGCTTTAGTCCGCTCTGTGTTGGTCTTGGAGCATCCTCGATGCCAGGTGAAGTAAGTACCAGCCGAGGGGAGCCTTCAGCAGGTGCGGTGTGGCCAGCGGGTCCTCACTCGACCCCTGGCTTGCCAGTTCTTCCCGCAGCGAGGTGTCCTCCTAAAGGCTTGCTTATATTGGAGTGGGGCACTCGTATTGTTACTGTAGACTGTGGCTTAAGAGCTTTAGGCAGTGTAAGTCGAGTGCTATCTATGAAAGAGTAAGTTCTGACACATTCACGGTGGCGCCTTACTTCCTGTGGCTCGCTGCCGAGTGCCTTGACGCCCTGGTGTACGTGTGTGACTGTCCCCACACAGCTTTACCACCAGTGGTGCAGGCGGCCTGAAGGGACAGTTGTGCAGGTACCTCTGGTGGCGTAAGCTGGCGCGAATGTGTTAAGCTAATGCAGAGGATCTGAGTTTCAGGCAGGCATGGGCAAAAAAGACCCTATTTTAAAAAATGTCTACAATTAATTATTTAGAATTCCATTTGAATTTGACACACAACTTACTCATAAGTTCTTGTCTGCAGGTGATGGATAACTTCTTAATACAAGTGACGGGAAAAAAGCGCATTATACTGTTCAGCCCTCGTGACGCCCAGTTTTTGTATTTGACAGGTACGGTTTTATTGGGGGTTGTGATCGGTTACTCCTTTATTCACATTGAAATACCGTTTAGAACATATCTTTCTCAGTAGGATGTGTCGTGTATTCCACTGTAGATGACAAGCCACATGAAGAATGAGATTTCAGATTATCATCATCACATTTAAGGGTTGTCAGTGGTCACAGTGAAAGAGTGGGCAATTGAAAACTGTCTTAGTCCCACAGTGTGGGTATAATGATTGAACAGAAAATACTTAATTTTGAAATTTATGATTACTTTTTTAAGAGAATGCCAACTTTGCCCGATCTGTTTGGAATCTTTCAGGTTCTAAATCAGAAGTGCTAAACATCGATAATCCTGACGTGGCTAAATATCCACTCTTCTCCAAGGCCCGAAGGCATGAATGTGTCCTTGAAGCTGGTGATGTGCTGTTCATTCCCGGTAAGATGTCCAGACCGAAGTCCTGTGCTGTTGATGAGGTCTGTGTTCTGTCACTCACCTGCTGGTGTGCAGAACTGTTCATGCCTCCTGACCTATACAGTCTGATTCTTCTGCATAGCTCTGTGTGTGTGTGTGTGTGTGTATAAAGTAGATTAGGCAGATTCTTATTTTAGGGAGCTGTCTGTCAGTACAGTTGTGCAATACTGATCAGAGATTTAGTGCCTGACGGATCATATATACAACAGAGGTCTCCTAAGATCGTCACGGATCTGAGAAACTCTATCACCAGCCACATGTGCACGTTGATGGCACTTAGGCAAACCTGGCCAGCCCTGTGGAAGCATAGCACAGTTCTGTGTGGCACATAATACTTGATAAGAAAAAACTGTGTTACCAGTTTCTCTGTTTGCTTCTATGTTCTTGATGGTACTGGGGATCGAACCCAGGGCCTCATGCAGGCTGGCAGGTGCTCTCCCAGTGAGCCAGTTCTAGCCCCTATAGTTTTTCATTTTGAGACAGGGCCTGACTGCGTTACTCAGAATGGCCTTGGTGTCATGTCTAGTGCAGCTCTCATATTTCCCAGAGTGAGAATGGAGGATGAAGAAATGGAGACCAGGGTCAGTGTGCAGGAAGCTGAGGTCAGTGGAGCCTCCTCTCCTCTCCTGCAGCGTGTTTGTTTGTACCCACTGGAGGCTGCTGTCAGCTGAAACCCCTCTGCCTAACAGCCTGTTTGCCTGGTTCACCTCGGGCGCTCCGTGTCCTCGGGGCTGCCTTGCTTTGGCCCCACATGTGTGATTCATCTCCAGCTTCGGGTGCTCCCCACACCCAAAGCTTTGGGATTCTCCTGCCATAGCCCCCAAATCAGTGAGATTAGAGGTTAGCACCAGCTAGTCTGCTTTTAATTGTTACTGATGCTTCTTGTTTGAAAAAGAGTATAAAACAGCCTAGGGCACCACCAGCAGAGACACCAGCTCCCTGTGCTGCCCTGACCCCCCTGGGTCAGGGTGGGAAACAAAGGCAGGGAGCGTGGCCACCCTGCTGAGGTGGGGTCTGGGCAAATGCATACACTGTGTCACTGTTTTTCACAAAAAAAGTTTAAAAAAGAAATTAAAAAAATTTAACATAAGAAAAAGCTCAGAGAAAAAACTAAATTATATTTATGTTGCTGTACGGTGTGTTTTAAGCTGTTACTATAAAAGTCAGAAGGTTAAAAATGTAAAGTTCATAATAACTTGTGGTAAGGGAGATCAATCACTTACTAAAGTTTTTTAAGAACTGAGTGTAGTCGAGCACACAGTGAAGTCCCTGACTGCTTGCTGCGGCCTGCTCAGGGGCCTGCTCTGGGCGCAGGGCGTCTTGGGACGTCTGCACGGTATCCTCACCGGGCTTCTGCGTGTCCTGTTCAGATCCACAGCCACTCGTGGTGCTGCAGCGGCTGCGTCTTCAGGACATGGCTTGCTATATGGGGCAGTGGCTTGTCCCCGGAGCGCTGGGCCACACGGGCTGTGTTGGGTGCGTGACGACGAAATGCCTGCCTGTGTCCCTTCAGTGAGCAGAGCACAGCTGCAGGACACAGACACTCCTTCAAAGACCATGTTCTGTTCCTGGACCAGACCATTAAGTGGACCTGAGGGGCCGTGTACAGTATGTGTTACATTAGTCAGAACAAAGAACAGGCAAAGAAGGCCTCAGCTTGAGCTCTTTGCTTTTAACTTTTGCGGGTAGTTCTGTCATGTAAATAACAGAACATAAAACTGCCGTACTGTAGGGTACAGTCAGCAGAGATTACCAGGCACCACTGTACAAAAAAAGAGGGGCCCTGAGTATGAACAAGTGTGCCCGAGCCCTGAGCCTGGAGGCCGTTAAACAAGGTCATCAAATAAGGGATGTCTGTACTGCATTTTGTTAAGTATCGTCAAGGAGATACTTCCTGCTTGGGAAAAGATGGCTTTTTTTAAAGAAAGCTTTTGTTGGTATAGTATTAGATATTTTAGGACTGTTCTCTTAAGCATTTACCAAGCAGTGGTAAGGTTTTTTCAAAACCAAAACAGATTAGAGATTGTGGCAAGTATCAAAATATTATAATCTCAACACCTGTGATACCTTTAGTGTGCCCTTTTCTGTATACAGAATTAGTGTTGTAATATTTTTATTCAGTAAATAGGCATTAGTTTGTAAAATTTCAGTGTTGTAAGCATGGTGATGTAATCACACCTGTAACACTTGTAAAGAGACACAGTGACAGATTCTGGGTAGTTGATTTTTTCTATCTAAATTAATACATTAATAGTACTTCATTAATATTAAATTTAAAATATCAGTAAGAAATGAAAATATAGTTATATAATTTAGGGCTAGATTATGAATTCTTTGAGGATAAGGAATAATGTTTTAATCTCTCAGAGAGGAACCACTGTCTTAGTCTTGAATAGATTGTAATTTTTAAATTCACATTTAAATTTGTTTTTAGAATGTGATTAGGGGCTATGTAGTTTTTCCTTATTCTACATCCAATTTTTAAGCAAAAAGAAAACAAATAATTTGCATATACTGTAGTCTGAAACAAAAGCAAAAGCCCCGGCTTGGGATTTAAGGTAAGCAGAGTGGCCAGCCGTTTCTTCCTGCTACCCTGAATGAGGGAAGGCTTCCAAAGAGTAGTTAAGAATGCAACCCTGTTTGAAGCCTATTTTGCAAATCAAAATATTTTAATCTTTTGAGTATTCTCAGAGGGAGCTTGTTTCTAAAATTTAAACTTTGCTTTGTCCCTCCGACAAGACTAGATATTTCTGATGTGATCAGTAGTCCATCTTTTTTATTTTGTGTCACTTTAGTATTCCTCTAGCTTAAAATACACCGAAAGCAGCAAATGGAAATTAATTAGTATATAATAAAATTTATTTATCATGTCCACCACCAAAATATTTGCTGATGTTTTATATACTTATTGTCAAGGAGTTGGAAGAAGTAGGATGTAATTGCATTAGAAGCACACAACTGAGGAAGCTACAGCGAATGCAAATTTAGGCGAGTTAGAAAACCAACTTGCAGCTTGAACAGGAAGTCTCTGAGAACAAAAGTACCGCCCTGAATCAAAAAGGTCATACTCCTCAAGTAATTGAAATCTTCTGTGTACAAAAAAAAGAAAACATTTTTGATGTGGTTGTATGTCTCAGGAAGTATCAACAACACAAACACAGCCCCAAATTAGAGAACTACAAAACAAGTATAACTTTATTATGTCTTTCAAGTTAAAAGAAAAAATTGCTATTTCTAAAGGTTTTAAAGTAAAGGTTGTGCTACTGACACTAAATTGATTGGTGATTCATGAAAGTTAAGATGATTCTGGTAGAAGCCAGGTGTGTGCTAACGAGGGGCTTTGCTTACGGGATGATTTACACTGGCTACATGAAATTCATGAATTTCCCTAACATTTTGGTGTTCTTTTTTTTGAACAATAGGTTTTATTTTTAACTTGGTTTTTTTTAAAACTTTCTGCAGCTTTATGGTTCCACAATGTAATTTCCGAGGAGTTTGGAGTGGGAGTGAATATCTTTTGGAAGCACCTTCCGTCTGAGTGCTATGATAAAACAGACACTTACGGAAACAAAGATCCGACAGCAGCATCAAGAGCTGTACAGATTTTGGACAGAGCCCTGAAAACACTGGCGGAGTTACCCGAGGAATACAGGGACTTCTATGCTCGGCGAATGGTCTTACACATTCAAGACAGAGCCTACAGCAAGAACTTTGAGTAAATAAGGAAGTGAATGCGAATGCAGTGAATATAAATCTTACAATAAAATTTAGTTGAAATCCTGGAAGAGAATAACAATGTAAGTTAATTTTTAAAGATTGATGCTTTGTTCAAACTGGAACAGTAACTCAGAATCTCAGATTTACATATTAAATAGGCATGTGGGCGGGTGTTTTCCTGGTTTCTGCTAGCTGCGGATTCAGAAGTAAAGAACGCTGCACCAAGACCACTCTGGAGCTTTAAGTTGCAAGTAACAAAATTCAACTTCAAGTGACTTTAAACAAAATATATTGAATCAGTCCACGAAGTCTGCTTTAGAGAAGGCTTCAGTGTTCTCAGTCCCGTGGCTCAGTGACATCACCAGAAACGTTCCCCTTCATTTTCCCCCCAGCATCGGCACATCCAAGGCCAGCTGCCCTCCTGGTCCTGGATGGTGGCCAGTCGCACTCGGGGCCTTGCACGTCTTCATTTGCATGCAGTGCGGGAGCCTGGCTGTGTCCCAGGGCCCTGGCCTGGCATGGAGCACTTTCCCAGGATTGCCACCGAATCTTTGGGGCTCCCTGCTGGCAAGGGTCAGACCTGCCAGCTCCAGGGTGGTCACTGGCAGAGGGTCTGAAATGCCTGTGGGCACTGCAGTAGACGCCTGCTTCAAGGAACCGGTAGAGAAGAGGGCAGAGTGGGCGAGTTTCAGAACCAAGATTCTGGTAGCAAAAGGAAAGGGGAGGCCCACTGAGAGCCTTGTCACCTCCGTTTGCCTGGACCCAGAATCTTCCAAGGCAAGGCAGGTTTACAGACCAGACGCCAACTCCCACCACGGAGTATAAGGTTGGAACAGTGTCCGGCAGGCCTGTGTTTGTGAGTGCGGGTGGCACAGTCACTGGGTAGATGGTCCTGATTTGGATTAGATTTGTGATTTGTCCAAAGCAAAATGTTTGCTCTCATTCTGGTTTTTCCACTGACCAGTATGTCGGGTCTGCTGTTTTTGTCAGCTGTAGTTTATACCCATGTCTAAACTGTGGCCTGAAGTCTTCCTCCAGAAACACTTTTTCACCTATTCCTTTTTAAAAGAAGTGTTTTTAGTTTAAAGGGTGAATGAGAGCCTAATGATGTTGTCTTGAAGACAGTGAGCCACTGTGTGTGGATCTGTGCTGCTGTTTCACGCTTCCTAATTGTGCTCAGGTCACCAGATGCATTCCCAGAACAGAGGTGTGCTCAGAAGCACTCTGCGTGCCTCCTCTCTGTGCATGGTAATTGTTAGGGACGTTGTACTACACTGATGATAGTCCACTTGTTCGTGTCCTGTTTGTGGTTGGATTAATTTCAGGCATAAAAAAGCAAATTACAATAAACAAGGGTATATTAAAAATTATTTTTCTAATCTTTGGAGATACTGGAAATCCTCATTTTTCTAAGTGCCTTCGGTGATACTGAGACTGACAAAGGTTTAAAAAAAAAAGTTGGTCAGAAAAGCAATTGTTTTAACATATTAGTTATACCTGATTACCCAGTTTTGATCTTTGGCATTTAGGTTACATCAAAAGCTTCCGTAGATTCTTTTAGTTCAGGAGGGAAAAGGACAAAACCTCTCTTAGTTTGCACAGTATAGGCAGCTTTTAATAAAATGTCTCTGATTGCTTTTTCCTTAACCAGTAAAAGAATTGGTGCAAAGTATAAATCCAGAATCCTACAGAAAACTGGGACATAAAATAGCTACAATTGGCCTACTGAGTGTTTGTTTGCTTAGTGAGAAAGCGAACTGGCCGCTCCTAGGCAAGTTAAGTAACCTATGACCGCCTGTTTTCCTCATTCTTAAAGTGAAACATATACTGCCCGGTGCTGCTGCAGAAAGCACAGCAGACAGACGAGGGCCGATACACCGGCAGTTGATGGCTGTGCTAGTTAACCCAGCTAATGCAGTCCTCCTTTGCTGAGAGCTGAGTAGCTCCTCTTGCAGTGTAAGTATTTAAAAAGCTACATGAACCCTTTGGGATGTTTTAAAATTATTTCCTTGGTTGCAGTTTTTAGTGTTTGGGTCTACTTTAAAATCAAAATATTTTATCTTTTTTGCCTTCTGGGTTAGGACCAAATCAAAATATACAATATATGTTAGATGCAACTTTTCAGGTATTCCAGATCTCTTCATGTTGAAAGGAATCTTCTGTTATCTAATAGCCTGGACTGCAGGTAGGAAGCTGACATCACAAAGGAATTTTTTTCTTTCCCAATAAAACTTGCTGTATTGCTTGCTTTACACAAGGATTCAAAATAAAACTAATGAACAAGTAAACGGTGGGGTGTAATACAAGCACTATGACACTGCCAGAGTATGGCAGAGATCAGCTCTCGCTGTGCAGCTCAGGCTGGCCTGGGGCTCACTTTGTAGCCTAGGCTGGTCTCAAATTTGCAGATTCTCCTGCCTCAGCCTCCCAAGTGCTAGGATGACAGGAGTGTGCCACCACACCCAGCAATAGAGGTGTACGTTATGGCATGGAATCTTTCCAATGTAATCACTAAGATTTGAAACTGCTACTTCCTGTGTAAAATAAGGCATGGTAGCTGAACACTCCCTTCCACAGGCATAGGACTTGCTCTGAAGGACACACAAGAGCCCATGACACAGGCTGCATCGGCAATGAGACTGCATGACAGGCGGGGAGACAAACCTGCGGTTTTATCTGAATTTGCTCATGTCACATCTGCAGTCAGTCTGCACACCTTTCATGGATGGTGTTCATCTTAGTGCAGGAGTACACTGGAATGTGTTCTGCAATTTCAAACTTCTTACATATCCAAAGAAACAGCAAACAATGGTTACTTCCTAGCCTTCATCCTTTTGGAACAGATGTGTGAGCATGAAGAACCTTGGAACAGCTTCTCTCACCTGTAAAACCAGCCACTGATTGAACCTAAGATGATGACTAGAACACTCTTGAAAATGCAGAAATGTGAAGCAGGCCCACTGGACAGAGCTGTGCTGGTCCCCTTCAGTGCTAGACATGCTCTGGGGGACCTAATGGATTGGGTTGTCTTGCTTTGAGCACAGGGACCATGAGTGCTGGGTGCCTTTAACACATCTAGAATGGTCACCCTGGTGCTACCTGGTATGTGAGCCGCTGGGCTGCCTTGCCCCTGTGAATAGCAGTGTGAGTTCCAGGACGCCCTAATGCGGTTTCGCAACTCCCAGGCCTGATCACTTTCTCCCTGCTGACACTCCACATCCAACACCCACAACTTGGAGAGGCTTGTCCTGGTCAGTTATGGTGCATGGTACAGTTACTGGTAGCCCCAGTGCATGGTGAAAAGGTCAGTGTAGAGGAAAGCTGCTCAGACCCTGGCAGTCAGGAAGCAGCAAGGGCAGCCAGGGGGCACAATCACCTTCCCACGTTGCATGCTAGTGCCCACATTTATCCGTGAGTGTCCCTGCCGACAAGTGCATGAGGCTTGGGGGGAATCTAGAGACCGTAACAAGTCCTCAGTGAAACATGACAGAGTGGCTCATGAACACCACCTTGTTTCCCACACAGCCTTAAACGCCCTAGACTCTGCTGTATCCGTATTGCCTAGACCAGGGATGGCAAGCCTTGGAGAACTTTCAAGGGTAACAACAGCTGGCCACAGATGTGTGCCGTGGCCTGCCACCACTGGCCGAAACCCTCCTGCATTTGGTGGGTGTTCAGATACTGCATCCATGACATGAAAAATGGATCACACCAGATCCTAAGTTTCTTAAGAAGTAAAGGAAAGGAAAAGAGTAACTCATTTGCTAAGAGACTTTGTTCTTTAGGAAACCCAACAAGAAATAGAAGGTGCATTCTGAGTAATTTAAAATGAGTCAGACATGCTTGTATACATCTATATTTCCAACATTTGGAAAGCTAAGGCAGGAGGCTTACTGTGAATTCAAGGCCAGCCTCCACTACACTGCAAAACTCTAAACAGAAAGAAGAGATGTGTCTTTACAGGGGAGATGTTCAAAGTTGGACAAAGTTAATGAAAATACAACAGGAAAACCAATAAGGTCAAAGTACTTTTTCAATGACTGATCTGAAATCTTAATAGAAAGTATATCCAAACACTCCTATAGATTAACTTTAATACAATTATACATTCATGCTGTGGCGGTAACAACTTTCACATTATCCTTATGACTTTTCTCAACTGACTCATTACGAAGGCACAATTCAAGAGGACAACGTTCACAATCACGGTGTAGAACAGACGTGTAAAGGACTTGTCCGAGCAAACAGAAACCATCAAACATGGATCAACTTGCATAAATTTTCAGAAAAGAGAATATTCTTCCTTTTAAACTGTCTCACTTCGATGTGATGGCAGTCGTAGGTACCCATGATTATGACTATCCATTCAAGATACAACAGTAACAACGAAGCATTCAGTTGACTGAATGGCTGAAGAACTCAGATTTTTAAATATCTGAGATTTAAAACAATGGATTCTTCTGTTGAAAGTTCTAACTCTTCACTTCAGTTTACCCTGTGAGAATAAGCCTTTCCCTAGTCACATGTCAGTTTCTTCCTAGGGGACAGCAGTGCTGGGGACGTAACCCAGGGCTTCTTGGACTCTGGCAGGCACTCTGCCATTAAGCTTCATCCTCAGCTCAATGCAGGTCAATTTTAACAAGCATTAAACAAACTGAAGAAAATCTTCCAATCGGTACGTTAAAGCAGCGTTACCTACAGCATGTTAGAATCATGCAGACTTTGTTATGTGATGGGAATCTTTGGTCTCAAAAGAGCAGGAATTTCAAGAAAACAGAGCAATATAAAACTACTTTTCTGTCATTTATAGGATTGAGTGCTAATTTTTAAACAGCTGGTTAAGAATCCCTTCTTGTGTTTCTCAATACTACATTTGGAATGCATTTATAGTCATTAAGATGAAAGAACCGAGAAATTAACATTTTTATGTTAATAAATCTAGGTCCTCTGGGTTATTAAGACAAATGTATCTTCAGTGTCATTTTTTCAGTCCTAAAACAGCATGTTATTTCCCTGTTTATGACTAGCAAAAGCTACATATTACTGAAGTATAAAAGAGATGCCCTTTGATAATCACACAGCTATGTTTTAGGATTGGCTGAAACTGGTTTCTGGAGATGTATTTTTCTAGGTCAAGAAAACCAAGCAGAAGGAAACTTCACCAAATCATGTAGCAGTGTTAAGCAAATCTGATTTTTGAGCCAAAATTAAATCATTTGTGTCTTCAAACTTTCCCTTGTAACTTTTCTTATACCAGTGTTAATTTTGCATTTTGGCCAAATGCAGCTCTTTTCTTTTGGCAGACAAAACCATGCTTCTGGGAAAACTGATTTAGATTCATGGAATCTGTCTCCTTTGCAGCAGAGCACTAGCAAAGCATTACATATTTGTTTTACCTGAGTTGCTCTCTTTTAAAAGTGATATAATGAAAGCTTGAAATCTGCTCTGTCCAATATATTTATTTTTACTTAACCAATTTTCAGAAACAATTAGATAAACAAAAACAAAAATTAACCCATGATAATTAAATTTAAAATGTTTTAAAAACCAATTTTATACTATTACATGTTCTTGGGTATTTGGAAATAAAACATGTTTTGGCTAAGAAAAAAAAAAAAAAAAAAAAAAAAAAACCCAGCTTGGTGGCACTCAAAGAGTGAAGCCAGGGCTGGGGTACACCTCAGGGGTAGTTCTGCCTGCCTGGCGTGAGTGAGGCTCTGGGTTCAGTCCCTAGCACATGTGCTCACACCCACACGTGTGTGCTGGCACACACACACACACGCACGTGCACACACACACACACATCCATGCATTTACCAAACACAAAAGACAGGACAATTACTCAAAAATGCTGGAAAACATCTAGGTATCTATACTTTGGGAGAAATGAAGTGCTTTCATTCTTCTGGGGTGCCAAAATAGCTAATTATTTTTATAATTTACCCCAGTTAGTTTAAACATGTCTCAGAAAATCAACTATTTCCAACAGTTTTAGTTACCTTTAAAAAGGACTGTATTGTTAACTTTCACTTTTAAGAGTCTTGTACCTCCTCAGAAAATGATCACAAACCATTTTTAGATTTCAAATTAACTGTTAATTCTAGCCCAATCCAAACTGCAAACTGCTCACGCTCAAACTCACAAGCAAGGACACTACTGCATATTACACTCATTTCAGGAATGTGTGCTTTCCCCAGCCCCAGTCTGACAATGCAACTAGGCATTCCATTGTATACCCCATTATCCGAACTGGTAGCACTCAACGTGCTTCTCCTCCTCCAAACAAGTACGTTAATATTCTTGTCTCAAAATACTTCATGAACCCTGAAGTGATTTTCTATGGAAGGGGCTTCCTTTGCAAAATGAACCTGGCTTGTCACCTGCACACCAAAATCTCCAAGGAGCTGGACAAATTTCTTGTGCTCCTTGCCGATCCAAGATCTCATTGGGTCGCGTACTTGGTAAGGTGTTACGTGAGTGTGAACAATAATCCCCGTTTGTGCAAATTCTTTCAAGACTTCTGGGTACGTAACCCATGTATTGCTTCCTCCGGAATGACCACCATCCAGCCAATACATTCTTCTTATGCTTTTGATGAAAGCATCTATGTTCTTGTCTTTCTTGGCTTCTTTCAATTCAAAAAGCAACTGATTCAAAACAACACATCCTTTACTGAATCCAATCAAAGTAAAAGATGCGCCACTGAGTGACGGTGGATGAAAACTCCTGGTGGACTCATCGAGCTTTTCACAGGTCCTTTCTTTTTCTCCCTGGCAGCCATTACTAGCAGAAGGAGAATTAGACTTACAAGTAGATGCTTTGGAGTCCTTATTCCAAACATTTCCATTCTTTGACAGCACACCATTCTGACTTAAGTTAAAAGCATTAACTAATAACGTATAAAGGTGCTTGAAAGCTCCAAAGTCAGTATTGTGTTCTGGAGCACCAAACATGTTGCTTTTCACAAAGTTGTCATAGCAGCTGAACTTGTGCAAGTGCATCCGAGAGCACTTTATTACCCAGATGTAACTGTCGGGAAATCGCTGGGCTAGGATGGTGGCAACGTTTTCCAGACTCCAGTTTTCCCACTGGTAATTCTCAGGATGATGAGTCATGATCTCATGGTAATTCTGAAAGGGAAGAAGGATGAAGGCAGCCCTGAGTACAGATGTATATAAGCTTATTTCCATAAAGGTCTCCTATTTTTATTGAGGGATTTAAAAGGCTGTAATCACCTATGATTAATGTACTAGAAATACAAATTGACACTGTCACCACTTTCTGGTTATAAGACTTCTTTCCTTTTGTGTTACAGGGATTGAACTCAGGGAGTACTGACCTATAGCCCCACAACCCCACTTATTTTCTTGGTTTTTCTTGCTCTGTAACTCAGGTTGTCTTTCAACTCCTTACATAGCCCAGGCTGGCCGTGAACTCTGGCACTCTTCCTGTCTTATCCTCCCAGTGCTGGGATTACAGGCATATGCCATCACGCCTGGCTTTAATTTTGAAACACAATCTAGCTGAGTTGCTCAGGCTGGCCTTAAACTTGCAATTCTTTTGCCTCAGCCTCCCAAAAGCTGGATCACAGGTCTATGCCACCACATCTGACTCTGCTTGTAAGACGCTGAACAAATCACTTCTATGCAAGCCTCAAACTCAGTAAGGGGTGAGGTAGTAAGATACAGCGATGATGCCTAGTAAGAATTTAAGTTTTGGGAAGTCATAGACTTTAGTTAGCATAAAGATAAATCTTAGCTCATTAAAGATAAATCTGGTTCATGACATGGACTTTTTGACCAAGGCAGAATTTTAAAATGTTTACCCTCTAGTGAGCTGCCACGCTGTGCTACTACCTGGACTCCTCACGTGACCTGAATGCTGTCTGTTTCAACTCTGTTGTTGTGACAAAGCTGCAGTAACATGCATGGAAAAACATTTGCCCCATCTGTGATGACATCTTTAAAAATAAATTCCTAGATATGGAAAACCTAGACCAAAAATATTCCTAATTTAAGATTGGTTGATACTGAGAGTGCAGAACTGTCTTCCAGACTCATGTAATTTCTTGGTTAAATTTCACCAGCAGGGTAACTATTCAGATTTAAATTTACTGAAAATGAGAATCAAACTAAAATTTTGTTCATAATTTATTAACAATCTGGATCTCAACTCTTGCTTGTTCATATCCTTTATCTTTTGTATGTGGACCTTACTGATTTATAAAGCCATCTACATAGATTAACTGTATTATGTATCTATATATGTATCTTGTTTTAATTTTTATTCATAATGGCTTTTTTGAGACAGGATCTCTATGCAGTTCAGGCTGGCCTTGAGCTCACTTGGTAGCCCAGGCTGGTCTTGAATTTGCAACGATCCTCCTGCCTCAGCCTCCCTCAGCACAAGAGCCCAGAGGGAACTATGGTGAGGCCATGGCCAGCTCTACAGAGCCACAGCTGCCAAAGCCCTCAGGTGGAAGCACGCAGGCACCCAAGATGGACGGCACGAACCAATGTGACTGCAACGACCAAGGAGGAGGACAGCTTAGCGGGAAGGAGGGGAAGCTCTGGCTCTGGAAGGGTCTGCAGCAAAGGGCTGATTTAACTGCTATTCTGAAAGGATTACTTTGGCTCCTACATGTGAAGGGCCAACTGCTGAAGCAGCCAAACTAGAGAGGCTACTAAAATTCCTCCTGGAGAAGCGTGCACAGACTGTGTTGGAACGGAGGTGCTGGGTGGCTCCCTTACAAGAATATTTGGAATTAGAGTCACCAAGATTTACTGGAGGGTTGAGTAGATCATGTGGAGAGAAACAGGGTCACTCTGCTGCCATTCATGTTTTTTAAAACTTGCCTAAGCACAGAACATCTCTGGAAGGGGTGTGTGTGTGTGTGTAAAACAAACAGTGGCAGTAGCTTTGGGGAAAGGAAATGGTAGAATTGGATGAGACAGACCCACTTTTTAGAGTGTAAAACCTTATGTTATCTGAATTTTGAGCAAATGCATTTTTTTCCTAAAAAATTAAATGGATTGAATGTAACACTACAAAAATCCAGTCTATATAGTATGGTATGAAGAAGCTAGAGAAACCACCCATTAATCCACTAATTGGAACTAATCATTAAAATGTTGGTATCTAGTAGTCCCATTTTCTCTAGTTTACATATATATTATGAATACAGAAGGACAGTATTTTCCTCCCCCAAAGCAACAAGCTTATATATACATCTTCAAGAGTATGTTACAGGCATGATTCCATGTATAGATTTGAATAATAATTTTTCTTTTTTTTGTCTTTTTCCTTCTTTTTGGTACCAGGGATCGAACTCAGGACTGCCTGCTTGCAAGGCAGGCGCTTATGCCGCTGAGCTAAATCCCCAGCCCCTTGATTTGAATAATAATTTTAAGAATCAGATCAGTATCAATTTACATGTCAAAAACAAATATACAGAAGCATCATTTTTCCACATTCTTAACTATTTTTAATGCTAATGACTGTTAGCATTAATTTTCAAACAATTTTTGCTACCATGATAAAATAGTGTCTTGATTTAATTTGGATGTTTTAATTATTAATTAGGTTGAGCATTTTAGTTTATTGGCAATTTTCATTTTAGTCTCTGTGCATGTCCTCTGACAACTGTCCTGTTGTACCTCATTAAGTTTGCCATATATATTTAAAAAATTTATTCCAAGGTCATTTGATTTTCTATGAATTTTGCTATTATCTTCTACACATCAAGATTTATAATATATACAATTAACATAAAATCATGGGCATTGAGATCTGGAAGGGTGTACCTAATTTCTTTTGATAGTTAAGGAACCCAAGGTCCTAGGTCCTAAAGACTAATCAAAATGAACCTAGACTTTATGGGTCTCAGTTCACACTATAGAAGGTCTTCATTAGCTCCAGGTGACAGGACTGGAATGGGAAAAGGACTGGTATGAAGGAATTACATAAACACAAGTGAAAAATGCTATTGTTACTGTTGTGTCAAAGCCTAGGGCTCAGAATAGTGGGTAAGCACTTCCACATTCTGCAAAGAGGCATCGAACATTCCCACAGGACTTTCTAAGAGGTATCCAAAGTTTGATCTGCAACCCAGGCTACTACTCATGGTCAACCTATTAAAAGGGCTTATATATAATCATCTGTGCAACAGGTTACCTACTCAACACCAGGCACAGCAGACGGACAGACCAGTGAACAGACACAAACTTACACGTTAATGGTAAAAGACAGACGAGAGCCAAAATGAATAAAGATGAAAGGCTAGCAGGAAAGCTGTACACATGGGTGCGTGGTCAGGCGAGGCTCTGTTGAGAGGCACTCTGAAGCAGACATGTCAGCGGGGAGCTAATAATGCACACACAGGAGGAGTGTTCTGAGAGAAATGTGTATGATGTGTATGAACAAGTGGGGGAGTGGCCCGAGGCGTGGATCCCTGCAGATACACAGAGTGGACCAGGTGATGAATGCGAGGTGTGAAAAAGAGCTCTAAAGGTGACCGGAACCACCACCTTGGAAAAAGACTGTCTCCATTGACTGGGATGACTGTGGAGGGTAAATATCCAGAGTTTAGGGTTATCTAGCAAATACCCAATAGGAAGACACTGTGCACACAGTGGATGAGTCTAAAATTCACGAATATAGGTAAGCTAGATACACAAATATCAAGGGCTCTCCAGGGTATAGGTAGTATGTAAAGCCATGAAATTGAATCTTTGCTAAACAAGTGAGAAGAGACAGGGAAAGAACAGAACATTAGGGTACTTTAATAATTTTTAAAGTCCCTGGAAAGGTGAGAAGTGATGAGAACTCATCAGTTATTCACATAGCTAAGCTCCACTGACTCCCTATAAATTATTCCTATTTTATAGCTGAGGTAAGTGCAATAGAGAGATTTAACAAATGCCTGAAGATTTCATAACCAGAAAGCACAGAATCAGGGTTTAAATGCAAGCAATCTAGGCTCAAAGCCCTGTGCTGCATTTTCTTTTTTTCTAAGAGACCTAGCATTTTAGAGGACTTCCTACTTTGCACAAATTGAAAGTCCATCACTGTCCCAAAAGTTAATGGAATATCATGCTACATAAACAGATGGGTATTGTCCAAATGAAAGAATGTGATACTCAAGCTGTATGTAGAACTTTTTAGACCTCATCGAAAGACTTACTCTGTATTATGGCCGGGATACTTTACAAAACAGTAAGTGCTCAATAAACGTTAACTGTCAATACTACCACTATCATCCTTGTTATAGGCACACATGGTTGGTCACAAATCTCTAGAAATCAGTGTCAGATGCACAACATGCTGTTCTCCCAATGTGAGCTCAAAGGTTATCAATCGAGTAAATGTTCTTTTTTAAAGTCTAAATACTAATTTCCTCTAGCAGTCAGTTGGACCAGTTATTTTGAGGACAAAACACTACATACACCTTTATCACTGACTCAGGGCACAAAGTTTTTCAATAGATCATCTTAAAAGCATCAATTTCAAAAACCCTCAGCTAACACTGTTTCATGTTATACATATCTAGCTACACCTCTTGTGTCTGTCTGTACCAAGACCACTAGCAGAACTTCCAGTGCCGATGGAAACGCTCTATGAAAAGCTGTCCTGGGGCTGGGGATTTAGCTCAGCGGCATAAGTGCCTGCCTTGCAAGCAGGCAGTCGTGAGTTCGATCCCTGGTACCAGTAAAAACGAAAAAGACAAAAAAAAAAAAAAAAAAAAAAAAGAAAAAAAAGAAAAGCTGTCCATTTCTATGTTGTCCAACACAGTACAGTCACCATCAGTAGTGACGGATCACTTCCAATATTACGACTGAGAAACTGGATTTTAAATTTTACTTAATTTAATTTTAATTAAGTTAATTAATGGCTAATGGCTACCATATCTATATAGTTTTAGACTAAGACTCAGGTTGCAGGACAACATAACCACAGATATTTGCCCACAGCTATGAAATTAATAATAAAAACATGCCAAGCTGGGTGTGTCTGCACATGCCTCTTTGGGAGTCTAAGGCAGGAAGATTGCAGGTCCTCGGCCAGATGAGGCAATTTAGTGAGATCCTGTCTCAAAATCAAACAAAAAGCCAGTGAGACGTCCCTGGGTTTAATTCCCATATTGTCCCCCTCAAAGGTTTATGGCTATAACATTAAGACACGTAAAATACCCAGAAACAAAAGTACAGACTAACTTAAGCGAGCATCAAAACACTGACACACTTCTCAGTGACTGTCCCTTGTCCGGCTCACCACCACCCTGTTCTAGGGTTACTCCCAGCGTCACGTTTGTAGTGGCTTGTTTGTTTGTTTCTGATTCAGCTCTTTCCCAACACTGCGCGCTATGCTAAGTTCACTAAAAAGCCAGCTGTGTCCCCAGCCCAACAGGCACGGTGTCCTCCGCGCGGCCAAGCGCTCCGACAGCTTGTCTGTCCCGCCTGTGCCCAGGGCCCCCAGTCCCTGGCTCCCGCGTGGCCTCCCTCAGACCCCTCCTCGGAGCCTGGCCTCGCCGCGCCCAGTCACCTGCACGTCTCCGGGGAAGTACAGCACGTGGTGCTGCTCGACCGCCGGGTCCCCGGGGCCGCCCCGCGCCGCGGTCGCCAGCAGGAGCAGCTCGTTGCTGCGCTGCGGGTCGGCGCCGGGCACCGCGCACAGCTGCATGCGGAGCCCCTCGGCCGGCCGCGAGCTGCGCGCCCCGACGCCGCCAGACTCCATGGCTCCTGCCTGCCGCAGGCCCGGCGCTTCTCCGACTGCCAGCGGCGGCGACCGGAGCAGCGGCGGCGGGGCGCGCAGGAGCCTGAAGCCCCACATGGGTCCCGCGCCCTCGGGGCAGCGGCCCTGAGAGCTCAGTCGCGACGCCGCCCAACTGCCGGCCTGAGGCGCCGAGCGGGGCGACGGTGGCGTCAGGACGACGTCCTCGCGCAGCGTACGTCAGGAGGGGCGGGGTTCCGCAGGGGGCGCGAGAGGGGAGGTGGGCCCGAGAAAAGCCGCTTGTGATTGGTGAACGCAGCCGCGGCCGGGAAGTTCGAAGACAAACCAGAGCACAGCGAAGGCACAGGCAGGAACCGCGGCCGCAAGATGCGTGCAGCTTTAAGAGCGAGACCATTTCAAAGGCCTAAGGGTTCGGCCAAAAGGCCTGGGAAGTGAGTGTGCCCCGGGGCGGGAGCGGGGGAGGTTCTGCTTCTTACCTCGAGGTTCCCAGAGCAGTGCTGGGGAGGGAGACACAGGCTCTCAGCACCTGTGCTGTGGGCGGTGGTGATAAAGGGCAATCAAACTCCCGACCTACTGTGTCCGGTGGAGTTCGGGTTCTCTAAAATTGAAGAATGAATTTTAGGAACAACGGAGATTAAGAGTAGAATATATTTATTGAGAGAAAAAAAAGCTTCTGTCTAAGAGAGACAGAAGGGGTCCTGAGCGGGTTGCCAAGGACTCAGTCTTTTCCAGGGACTTTTATAGAGTAAAACCATGTGGTGAGAGGGGATCAAGGTAGAGAAAACTGGGAACCTACAAGGCAGATGGGCATAAAGTGGGACAAAACTATGGTTAACTAATAAGATTAATTGTTCAAGTAAAACTGATTACATTAGGGTCAAATGGGGAAGCGAGTCACGTAGGAAAAGGGGCATTTTTAGGGAGCAGTGACTCTTCCCTAGGGTGATAGGGAGCTATTTAGAATATCAGTCCCTAGGCTATGGATGCATTTGTTTGATCTTTTGTCTGGAGGCCTGGCCCACAGCAGAAGGTGTCTGTCTCCCCCATAGTTGCAAAGTATCTGGGCTTCCCCACTGGCCCCTTGGAGGACCTAGCCCTGTCTCACTGCTTATAATATTTCTAACTAACCCAGCTGCTGTAACAGTGCGTGCCACCAAGGTGTTCCTACGGTTATGGTTGTCCAAAGCTAATTTGAATAGTGTAGGGAAGTCCTAGGTGTCCGACAACCTAGGATTGGCGAAATGCTTATGAAACACTGGGAAAGAAGGAGTAAACCATTGATTTAGTCACAGGCGCTTATGAGGCAAGGTACGGTAAAGAAACTTGAGAGTAGGTGAGTGGGAATTATAGAAATTAGAGCCAGATTTGTTGAGGGTTTACTGTAGGCTGGGAGTCTAAGCATTTTATGTATAACTTGTGGGTCAGTGTGTGTGTGTGTGTGTGTGTGTGTGTGTGTATAAACACACATGTTTTCTTTGTTCTGTACATGCAAATGCTAACAGATTCCCTGGGGTAGAAGCACAAATAAGCAAATAATAAAATATAATTTCCTAACATTTTAAAAATGGCTTTGGAGGCATGTAATTATGCTAGTCTCTTGTGACTTATGTTATTGGATTCCGTCTGACATTATAATAGCATAACCAGTGAAAATTTTGTAGTTACTGAGTATATCTGCTCTTTTTATTTGCAGCAACACAGAAAATGTTTTGTTAACCAGTAGTGATAGGTAGTTCTTATCTCAAAGTACTGTCTGCAGCAAGATTATTCGATGGGAGAGTTATTTTAGCTGTGCTGTGACATACCGTGGTAAACTTCTTTTCAGGCATGCCTCATGGCCACATTAACAGCAGTGTTATGAAAGCCCAGTTGTGCACAGGGTACGGAGTTCTGCTTGATATAACTATCTTCTACTTAAACTCTTGGTGATCCTCCTGTCTCAGCCTCCCAAATACTAGGATTACAGGTATGCGCCATTACTCCTGGAATTTCTAGTTGTTTAATGGTCATAGACACAGATGGGTCACTACCATTCCCTTTGGTTTTCTCAGAGCTGAGCTTTCCATTCCAGAAAGAAGTCTTACATGTAGAAAGTTACCATAACCAGTAGTGTGACTTTCTTTCTCCTTTCTGATGGATATGAATATCCATGGGGATTTTATTACATGTAGTTCCTGAAAGCTATGGCTTATCTCTGGATTCGTGACCATTCTCAAGGGACTCTACTGGGTCCTCAGAAGTTTTGTTTTGCCACTTAATATACCAGATAGAAAAGTTGCAGAATTTGAAAGTTACCTCGGAAAAGGTAACATAAAAAGCACAAGCTCCGGCTGAGTGTGATGACACACGTCTATTATCTCCACAATCCGGAAGTCTGAGACAGGACGAGAGCAAGTTTGAGCCCAGCCTGGGTGATTAACAACTTCGTGACAACCTCTCTCAAAATTTTAAATAGGAGGTGAGAGGTGCGGGGTCTGTGGATATTGTTCAGTTCAGAGGTCTTGAGTTCAGGGCTGGGGATATAGCTCAGCAACTCAAGGACCTGCCTGGCAAGCACGAGGTTGTGAGTTCTGTCCTCAGTACTAAAAAAGCAAAAAAAAAAAAAACAAAAACAAAAACAAAAACAAAAAAAAACCAAACCCTTGAGTTCAATCTCCAGTATTTCAGACATAACAAGAGTTTTAAAAAAATTTTAAAATTCCACTAAATGTTCTATCCAGAGAGACCACATGATATATATATATATATATCATAAATGGTAAATTGGACATATATAAGATAGGAAATGGTAAAGACTATAGCAAGCCAAAAGGAGAAAGCAGTCATTATTCATCTCTAGCCAGTTGAAAATGAAGGCAGCATTTTGCCAGCCCTTCTAAACTATTAAATAAGTAATACAGATTTTTAAGTTTCATTTGCCAACTTTAAATGTTGATAGCAAATTTGTTATAAAATGTCTCAAATGCATGCATAGATCAGATTTGATATATGGGCCACAAATGTACAAGTCCTGTATAAAATGTGAAAATAAATGGATATTGGGATGAGGTGGGGGAGAAAAGGCAAAAGTCCTTAAATGTGTCCCCTGGGAGAGACTGAAAAGGAAAAGGAGGTAGGAGGGGTAGTTTTCCCAGGAGATTTTAATTACATCTCATTTGCATTTGCTGTTCTTTCAGAGATTCAAGTATTTTAATTCTTTTTAATTCTAGGTCCAAACAGGTACTATTTTTATTTTATTTATTTATTATTTTTTGTTTTTAATACGTCTTTGTGCTAATATCAGACCTTACAGAAATATATTTCAAATGAGTTTTGCTCTTTAGCATATAATTTTTCTTCTGGAATGCCTAATATAACAAAATAAAGTCATTTGAAGATTTGATTTAGCTAATTTCACTAGCTAAATAACACCCTTTATGGTGTTCCTGTAGTACATGATTTAAACACATTTCCGCAAAATATAAAATAAGATGCTTCAGCAAAATAACAATGACTTTATGTCAAGACACTATAATTATCTTTAGAACTCTGAATATGCAAAAGCATTGGTTACTAATAGTTACTGCATTCATTGTACTTTACTCACTGTTAAAACATAGGAAAGATAGAATCAATGAAATTACAGTCCAGGTTTTTAAATAGGAAAAGAATCTGCGTAGACGCATCACAGAAGATAATACAGTTAGAAAATAAGCACACGAGAAGCTGTTCAACATTGGTAGGCATTAGAGAAATGCAAATCAAAATCAGGAGTAACATTTCATATCCACCGCAATGGATATACTAAAAAAATCCCAAAGTAAATAAACAACAGTATCAACAGTAAAGTGGAGAAATTGGAGCCTTCACGCCTTGTGAAGACATACCTACTTAGCAGCTATTCACAAATGTTCACAGCAAAATTATTTGTAATATCCCGAGAGTGTAAACAAACTATTAATTGGTAAATGAATCAGTTAAGTATGCTATAGCCATACAATATAATGTTCATTAGTAAAAAGTAATGAACAGAAGCAGCAGCCTGGGTAAACTTTAAAAACATTATGCTAAGTGAAGACTAGTCACACAAAGCCACATAATGCTTGCATCCATTTATATGAGAGGTTCAGAAACAGAAGACAGGTTATAGAAGATAAGTATAGAAACAGAAGATAGGTTAGTAGTTGGATAGAGTTTGAAAGGAAGGGAAACACTTAAAAAAACAGTGCACTCAAGGGGTAGAGAATTAGGCCCTATTTGTTGAAAAGGAAGAATACTGAAACATGTAGATGTATTTTAAACAAGCCTGCCTGGACTTCCAGGAAAATGGCAGAGCACTAAACAGCAGGAGATCAGACTGAGATTTGGAATCCAGACACTGGACTATAACAGTTTGAGGAAAACAGTAGGGAAGTGGATCCCAGGGGCCCAGGAAGGATGTAAAGGGAGAATTGGAGCCCTCACAGCAGATAAACAGACTTTGAAAGAGAAAAGCACATCTATAGAAACACAGTAAAGAAAGGTGACTCCACAGGCCTCCATGGAGAAACACTCCAGTCTGAGCATCCCCTGGAGTGAGTGCTTGCTTGGTCTGCATTTTAGGGAGAGGCCCACTGTATCCAGGAGTTGGAGAACTCTTGGGGCTCCCAGTGACTGGGTGAGGCACAACTCTGAGAGACATCCAGGTTCTGGGAGCCAAGGCCAGGTGCACAAGAGACATCCAGAGTGCTGTGGGCTGAACAACTCAGGCCCCAACCCCACAACCAAAGGTTGGGGTCAGCCTGAACTGGAGTTGAAAGCACCAGAATCAGCACCCCATGCTGTTCTTACTGCAGCTTGCTGAGTTGACCCAGCATGGTTCCACGCTCTGTCTGCCTCCTTTGTCTCTCAGTGACAGCACAGACACATCCTGAATTGAAGGAGACCCTGGAGGATAACCAACCAATTTTAATCTTCTAAAATTTTTTTCACTTTGCTGTTTTCTTGATTTTCTTTTTTCATGAGTATAATCATTGTTTTTAGATTTTTTTGTTTACTTCTTATTTTTATTTCTTTCCTTGTTTTGTTCCCTCCTGTCATCTTCACTAGTTCCCAAAACTTGAGTAATCTTCCTTTGTCCTTTAGCCTGCTTCAATTCTCCTTTTTCTCTTTTATTTCTCTATTTTTTCCTTTTACCCCTTTTAAATCTCAGAAATAGACCACACACCAACTTATAGGACAGGCTTAAGTAAATGCAAAGGAAATGAAATTATCCCATGTGTATTATCAAACTATAGTGCATTAAAATTGGAAATCAGTGGCAAAAGTAACCCACAAAACTACATAAACACAAATAAATAATACTTTTCAGTTTACATAAAGGAATTAGAGTTTTTACAATTAGTAATGCCTGTATGACATACTGGAACTTATGGGATGCAATGAAAGCACTTCTGTGAGGATGTTTATAGTA